CACCATAAAGTGACACTTCTCCCAATTGAGTACTAGATTTGTCTCATCACACCGTTGCAACACCAACTTAAGATTTGTCAAGCAAAGATCAAAAGTATCACCAAATACGGAGAAGTCATCCATGAATATCTCTAAAGTCCTTTCCACCATATCCGAGAAAATTGCCATCATGCATCGTTGAAAAGTGGCAGGAGCATTACATAACCCAAATGGCATCCTCCGAAAAGCAAAAGTACCATAGGGGCATGTAAATGTAGTCTTCTCTTGATCTTCAGGAGCGATGGCTATTTGATTGTATCCGGAGTAACCATCTAGAAAGCAATAGAATGCATGGTTTGCAAGCCTATCCAACATTTGGTCAATAAAATGAAGCGGAAAGTGGTCTTTTTGAGTGGCATCATTTAGTCTCCGGTAATCCATACACACCATCCATCTTGTCACCGTTATTGTTGGAATTAGCTCATTGGCTTCATTCTTAACCACTGTCATCCCACCTTTCTTAGGAACACATTGTACAAGACTTACCCATGAGCTATCAGGAAGTGGGTAGATAATCCCAGCATCTAACCATTTAAGCACCTCCTTCTTCACAACCTCCTTCATGTTAGGATTCAATCGCCGTTGAGGTTGAACAACTGTTTTGCAATTCCCTTCCATCAAAATTTTATGCATGCAAATCGACGGACTAATACCTTTTATGTCCGCCAACGGCCATCCCAAAGCCGTTCGCAACTGTTTATCTTGCTCTTCTTGATTCAAGGAAGCAGAAATAATAACCGGAAGAGTAGAAGATTTACCGAGATAAGCATACCTTAAATGTGATGGTAGAGATTTAAGCTCCAGTGCAGGTGGCTTTTCAAAAGAAGGAATTAACTGTGGTTTGCTTGGATTAATCTCTTCAAGGGGGAGAGTCTTCATAAAAGGATGTGGAGGTGATGCTACAAGAAACTTCACAAACTCATTGTCTTCCTCGTCGTCTAACATTACCGTAGTCAAAGATCGCACCAAACATGCTTCCGGATCATCATCTAATTATTTCATCTTAATCATATCCCCAACAAGTTCTCCAATCACATCCATTCGAAAGCACACCACTGCCTCAGTCGGTAGTTTCATGGCTTTGAACACGTTGAAAGTAACTTGCTCATCTTGCACCCTCATTGTGAGTTCTCCTCGTTGCACATCAATAAGCGTCCTTCCTGTTGCTAAAAAGGGTCTTCCAAGGATAATGGGAATGTCCGCATCTTCCTCCATATCAAGTACAATGAAATTCGCTGGAAAGATGAATTTATCCAAACATCTTCAATGATACCCCGTGGGTATTTAACAGAACGATCTGCCATTAGTAGTGAAACTGTAGTAGCCGTCGGTTCTCCTAACCCCAACCTCCAAAAGACTGATAATGGCATAAGGTTTATGCTTGCTCCAAGATCACATAATGCCTTTCCAAAGTAAGAGTTTCCAATAGTGTATGGTATAGTAAAACTATCTGGATCCTTCAATTTCTGTGGCAGCTTCCTCTGAATAATGGCACTACATTCCTCAGTCAACGCTACTATCTCAAAATTTTCCAACTTCCTCTTGTTGATGAGGACGTTCTTCATGAACTTCACATACGTTGGCATTTGAGCTAAGGCCTTTGCAAATGGGATGTTGATGTGGAGCTTCTTAAACACTTCTAAGAATTTGGCAAATTGCTTATCCAAATTCTTCTTCTGCAATCTTTGCGGAAACGGAATCCTTGGCTCATGTGTTTCTACCGGCAAATCTTTCTTTTCAATCTCCTCTCCTAGTTTCTCTTTTGTATCTTTGTCATCATGCAGTTGCTTCTTCTCTGTACTTGACTTCACTTGTGGATCCTGTAGTTGCAAACCACTCCTTGTAGAAATAGCCCTGCATTGCTCTTTAGGATTAGGAATGGTATTCACTTGGAAGAGAGCCTTGTTGCCTTGTTGAACTAGAACTTGCCAATTGCCTCATTTGCACTTCTAAGTTCTTGATTGCTGTTGCTTGACTACTCAACAAAGTGTCTGTCTTAGCCATGTATTGCTTAGTATCATCCATATGTTGCTTAGTAGTCAACATGAATTGAGAAAACATCTCTTCCAATGAAGTCTTCTTCTCTTGTTGCACCCCTGGAGGAGGATTCAAGACATTCTGAGTGTTCCTGTAAGAGAATTTTGAATGATTCCTGGAACTGGGGTGATAGGTGTTTGAATTTGGGTTCCATTGCTGCCTATTGAAATTCCCCATGTAATTAGCTTGCTCCGCCACAGACAAACAACTCCCATTTTTATGATTGGCTCCACAATATTCACAACAAGAAGTTGGAATATACACCAAATTCACCTCCCTATTGTCCAGTTTTTTCACCAAAGCAGCCACTTGGCTCGTCAGAGCTGTCAAAGCATCAACCTCAAGTACCCCTACAGTTTTTCTCACCATAGTTTGCTCCTTCGGATACTTGTAATCATTTGCAGCCATCTCATCTAGAAGATTAAAAGCCTCATCCACAATCTTTCTCATCAATGCACCTCTTGCAGCAGCATCCACTAATTTTGCATTGCTCAAATCTAGACCGTTGTAGAAATACTGAATCTGCATCCATTTTTGCACCTCATGATGAGGACATCTCCTGCACAACTCTTGAATTCTCTCCCAAGCTTCTGATAAAGTCTCCCTATCATGTTGCACAAAATTAGTAATTTCATTTCTCATCTGAATGGTCTTGGATGGAGGAAAATACTTAGCCAAGAACTTCTAAGCAAGATCATTCCAAGTGGTGAAGTGATTTGAGGGATAAGAATAAAGCCAACTCCAAGCCTTGTCTCTGAGAGAAAAGCTAAACAGTCTCAATCTTATAGCATCCTTTGAGACTCCATTGAACTTCATGGTATCGCACAATTGCAAGAAACGTGCAATATGAGCATTAGGATCTTCACTAGGCAAACCCCTAAATTGACAAGAGTTTTGAATCATGGAGATGATCGCCGGCTTCAATTCAAAGTTGTTGGCTTGAATAGTTGGAGTAGCAATGCTCGACGGTATCCCGGTAACATCGCGGGTAGAATAATCCCCCACAGCCTTAGTGTCAGGCTCTCGTTCTGCCATATCAACGATCACAAGCTTTTCTTTCTTCTTTTCCCGCTTACGTCTTCTGAAAGGCCGCTCAATCTCAGGATCAAAGACTTCAAGACTTTTAGATCGTAGCATGCACTATAAGACACCTAACAATTTGCAGGAAAATAAAATAACGTAAGAGTCTAAATTAAAATTAAAAATACTTGGTATCAATATTGTTAATGCTAGTCCCCGGTAACGGCGTCAAAAACTTGATGTGAATTTTCGCAAGCGTACGAATTGTACAAGTAATATAATGAGTGAATAAGATATCGTTCCCACGGAGACTAGCTTAACAATTACTGAATTGATATTTTTAACTTTATCTAGACAAATAAAATCTCTATAAAAGATTAAAATTGAAAAGAAAGCAAAATAAATTAACACAAATTATATGCAAAATAATTATGAAAAGAGATCAATGCAAAGAAAACACTAGAGCATATAAGTTTCACCAAGACAATTTCTATTTAATTCTAATTATTTGCTAACATCGCCTCTCATTCATGTAGTAGAACGAAAAACCCTAATTTATCTAATAGTCCTTCTGGGGATGCTACTAAAAATATTTCTAACATGTAAATTTACTATCACTAGATGTGAATCCCACCATCCTAGAAATGTTTTAAGTTCGTTGATTTTTCTAAAATTGCTCTCACAAGTCGTATTATTATCTCTCGATGTCCTACGCAACTTACGGTTCTTTTTATTAGAAACTATTCCTAAAAATCTCCTTCTGGAGTTTCAATTTAAGTTTTCAATTCAATTCAATAAGTGATCAGTTTATTGAGAGCATTAAGAACAATAAAAGAAACACATTCATGAATGGAAAACTCTTAGTGAATAAACTTCATTGAACGAAAATAAATGGAATCAAATATTCATGTCTTGGCTACACTTGTAGCCCTAGTCTTGAAATTTAGAACATAATTGAAAAAAAAAAAACATAATGATAATAATAATTAACATAAGAAATTCAGGGAAGAATAAAACTGTTTGGCGAATTCAAAGTTGAACTCCGTTCTTGAACGAATCCTCATCTCCTTCGTAGAGTCGTCTTCTCTCCTTTTCTTAGCCAAAAGATCCCAGAAAATAACCCTAAAAATCCTATTTATAGTGTTTGGAATTGGCATTTTTGTAAATTTTTGGAACTCAAATGAACTCAAGTCGGCAAAATTTTTGAAGTAGCGTCGCGGCCCTACTATTTGGGCGCTGCGGCGCTGAGCTAAAAGATGCCAAATATACGCCTTGCTTCGAAGTAGCGTCGCGGCTCTGGTTTTGGGCGCCGCGGCGCTGAGCGGAGATGTTCTTCATTGCGTAAAATAGCGCCATGGCTCGACTGCACAAAGTCTAGGCTCTCTTCTCTCGGGTTTTTGTACTGCAACTGGACTATTTCAGAGCCTAGGCGCCATCTTTCAAGGTCGCGGCTCTCCGATATCAATTTAGCTCCAAGAATTACTCCAACACTCACTTACGAACTCCAAATGATACTAATCTATAAAACCAATTAAAATCACATAAATTCACTATTAAAATTACTCTAAAACCAACATAACACTTAATTAGAAGTATCCAAAGATAAGCATAAATCCAATATATCATGATTTGTGGTTCTTTAGAGTGTTTTTCTCTCACAAAAAATACACGTAAAACGAGAATGATTCTGAATCATGGTTCTGAATCCATGAATCAAACGTCCACTTAAAGTTTCAATTGACAAAGAGTTCAGTTAGTTGTTTTTCTATGCATAATGCATGCTATATTATATTAGTGTTTCAATTGACAAGGAGTTCAGTTAGTTGTTTTTCTATGCATAATGCATGTTATATTATATTATTTGACTAGTATAAAGGACCACCAAATTACCCTTTTTGTTGCAGCATCTAAATATGCGGGGTATATCAACTCCTTCCATGTATGTAGCACGGTAAGCTCATAATTGCGTCACATATGCAATGCGTTATGGTTTCATCCAAATATCTCTAGCCATAGCCATCCAATCTTTTGAGCACATGTTATATAATGGCTTGTTTACATGCAGATGGGCCCCGGATTCCCTGTTTCAGTACAATCAATATCCAAAGCTGCAGATCACTACAACAAAGTGTACCTTAAATGATGCATCTGTTTCCCTTTGGAGCTGACAATTCCAGCATAGATTAGCCTTCGGTTGGGTTTTCTTTAATTATTATTATTTTTGTATTTGTGATTGTTTTTGCCCTTGTAGGAATTATATAAAGGGCACTTTTTAAAGAGACCTTTAACAACTAAAAGAAAGGTGCCTCCCTGGAGCAAGGTGTTTTCTTTGTTTCTGCCTCCCACCCCCTTGGAGTCTATACATTACAAGCAATAACAATTATGGTTTGGCCTTGGACTACAATTTGAAAACACCAAAGTTTTGCTTACTTTTTTTTTTTTTTTTTTTGTAATATGCTGGTAATTAAATAGTCTTTTGAATGATATCTGCATTAACAATTCCAGTGTTTCTTTGTTGTTTCCCTTAATAGGAAACGATATTTCTCCCCTCTCTAAAGTACTGTTGGGCACTTGGAAACCACTTCTCATTCGTTTCGTTTTGAAACGTTAGGATAAAGGATGCACTTTTTTGTCGTTTGCCCATCTCAAGGGATTTTGTATGCTCCCAAAATAATGATACAATTCGGGAGTGTCGTTAGGAATAAACAGCTTTATGTTGGACTGAGGAGGCTTTCCTTATCTAACCTAAGCTGCATTTACCTGAATGAATTTCTTCTACTCCATTACAAATTGATTCTAGTACTAAATTATTAGTTGCTAGATTTTCTTTTTCCTCTTGTTTTTTGTTTTTTTTTTTGTTTTTTGTTTTTTTTTGTCTCCATGTTTTTGCACATATGATTTGCTTACTATGAGTTGCAGTCTTGTGTCACAAAGGAATGGGCTTGTTTTGTCCTATTATCGTTCATTGTACAATAGTGTTTCGTAGTAGGTGAATTTTAATGAATAAAGAAGAAAAAAGCATGTGTTTCTGCTTTTGTTCTGTCCAATCAGCACTGACGTGCGTGCTAGTAAGCGGGAGTTTGCATTCCAAAGACCTTTTTAAAAAACAATTATTTTAAGGTTATTTTCACTAATAAGCCCTAAATTATGAGTTGTCTCAATTTGGTCCCTGATTCTTTAATTTATACATGTTGGGGGAAACTGTTACTACTGCTATATGGGTTTTTGGTCTTTAGCTAGCTTCAGGGAAGAAATGCTAGAAATAGAATAAGCTTTTTGGAGAGTCCTTGCCAATCCTCTTCACTAGTAGGAATAATAATTGGCTCACTACTTTCCAGTTTTAAGTTTTCTACAAGGTGCTATAGGCAAACATCCTTCTTTAGTTTGGCTTAGCATTCATAGAGGGAAGGAACTACTTCTGAAGGGATTGAGATGGAAAATAAGGGATACTCTTTCATTTCATGTTGCTCCATTCCATGGATCCCTAACAAGATTAATTTTACACCAATTTCCTCTAATCCAATTATAACCAACATGAAAGTGTGAAATATCGGAGAAGATGGATTTTAGGACACAACAAAGATAATGCCTCTTTTTTGTCACTTATGTGCAAAAGCATTCTCTCCGTTTCTCTAATGTTTTGTTCATTTTACCAATTCGAGTTTAGAATTCAAATTTTGTTATAGTAAAAAGTTCTCAGAAACATTCACATTTAACTTTTTTGTTACAATAAAAAGCTCTGACATAAAGTCACATCTCAATTCAAATTAAAAATTCAAATTAGTGAACTAAACGGGACCTAAGTATGTCCAACAAAGTGGAATTGTTTACTTGACATCACTCCTCCAATGGATTTTACACAATCAAGTTTCGGGTCTCCAAATCACTTGACAATTGTGCTTCTTCAGACACACTTAGTGCTAAACTCACGATAGAATCCAAGAGCCTCATCATTAAATGTTAACACTTCAGTTTTTGAAGAGGATAGATCAAGTGGAGTTGGTCTCATCATCCGAGTTTTTCAAGGTCAAGTCGCTGCGACATTTTCAAAGAAGGTTTATGGCTTATCGTCTCCTAAAGATGTAGAAATGAGAGCCTTCAATATTTAATATCGTTCAGTTCATGAGTTCAAATAAGAAAATTCAAATTAAAATTTAAATTTTTATGAAAAAAATACTTTAAGAAAATTTAAATCATGAATCAAACCTACCTACCAAACAAGTTCTCAATTTATAATAATCACATTATATTTATTGTGACCTCCAAAAAGTGAAGTTGGATAATAAAAAGAAAAAATAAAGTTATTTAATTTATAGGGTAAAGAGCATTTTTATTTTTTAACAATGGGTGTTATCTATTGAAAGCATTGTGGTCATCTACCAGTACATTATATGTATTCTTTACATTTGTGTGTAATATATATATATATATATATATATATATTAGTGCTCTCTAAATTTTAAAGTCATTCTCAGTTTTCCTCTTAAATTGTACATTATTTCACTTAACTCCTTTATTGTAATTTATATTAAAAATAAATAGAAAAACAGAGATTAACGCGGTCATGTAGTCTTTTTATTTGAATTTTTGTTAAAAATAAATGTATAAAAACGACATGGTCACATTTATCCCTCTCTTTTTTCGTATGATTTAACATAAATTCTTACAAAAAAAAGGCTTAAATGGGACAAATTCAAAATTTACCGGACAATATGAGAATGATCTTAATGTTCGGGGGCACTAGTGAGATAAATTAAAAAAAAAACATTGTTAACAACCATCAACCAGTTAGGGTGCGTTTGGTTGGACTGGTAGAATAGTAATGGTAATGATAATGGTAGTAAGAATGGAATGGAATAGGAATGCATTGAAAATAAAAACTGATTCTTTTATTTGGTTGGAATAATGGAATGACTTCAGAATAGAATGAAATTAATTATACTTTGACGAAAATACCCTTAAAGCATATAAACTATCGTCTTCAACCAAAGAAGCATATGTACTATCATAAAACAACCCAAGTATGAACCAAAGAGAGTGAAAAAAAAATCTGAAAAAATAATTACTTTTATCTAGAAAACCCCAAATCTAAAAATCATTGTTTCCGAGTTCTAATCATTATTCAAAGTTTATCCCAAATGTAAGAAAACCATCAATGAACAACCCCAAATCTTAAAAAAAAAAATGTATACACACACACACACGAACACGATACGAACAACACCAGATCTACAACTAAGAATAAATCCATATAGAAATATGAAAAGCCCAATCAATAGAAGCAACCGGCTTCATGTGTTTCATCTCTTTCCATGTTTTCTTAGTTTTTGAAATTTGACAAACAGTGACAATAGAAACGAAAAATGGACGGAGGCAAGTTTTGATGGTGAGCGTCGATATTGATGGTAGACCACCAGCGGCGCACGATCCAAGCTTCGATGGTGAACGTGAGCTTCGATGGTCCGGCATAGCTCGAGAGCTCTATAAGGAAGCAAGCTCCGGCGATCTCTGGCCGTGCTTGAGGTGCATTAGGAGGTGGATGCCAACTCTGATGATGGTTGGCGGCACTCGACAGTAGCATCATAGATGGAGTTTCAAGGTCAGCTTTTTGCTGGATCTGAGAGAGATTCAAATGAGTTTTGATTTTCGTGGAGTGTTTAGAAGACAAAAAGGACAGTTAGGGAAAAAATAATTCCACCAACTTAAGAATAGCAATTCACTGCCCCACTGAATGAATGACTTTTTCACCAAAATAGGTGAATGACCTTTCCATTGGAAATACCTTTCTTAAGTGATTTTGTTAACCAAACAAAAGATTTGAGTTTTAGGAAAGGGACTGTCTTTCCTTTCTATTCTGTTACCTCCAACCAAACGTGACCTTAGGGGTGAATTTGTAGATGTATTTTGACTTGTTGTTTTTCTATGACTAGACTTGGTCATAGTTAGCTTAGGCTTGGAGCAACATCCCTAGATGCGTGTGACTTCATTAAATATTTTCTAAAATTTGTTATTGTTCCCTTTTTTTCTCTTATTTTGCCTCTATAAAATTGTCTACTTTCAAACTTTAATACTTTATATTAAAATGTCCTAAAATATTTCAATTACACCCTAGTTTTTACTTTTACATAATCAAGTAGCTTCGCTCATGCTAGAACTGGTAATCAAGTCGCCAATATTTTTGCAAAAAAATTCATAGGATGGATGCTGAGTTGACTAGTTTTTTTTTGGCTCGAGAGTTGACTTGTTTATACTTCACTCAATTTCTTGATTAAAAACATATTTATTTTCCTGCCAGAAACAAAATTATTACAGGATATAGAGCCCAAAACAGAAATTTATTGTAATCTCGTTCATTTCACCGATTCAAATTTTTAATTTTAATTTTATTAGAATTAAAAATTTTCATAAAAAGTTACATCTAACTTTTTCTGTTACAATAAAAAACTTTTACATAAAATTAAATTTCAACTCAAATTAAAAATTCAAATCAACGAATTAAACGAGACTCACGATTCCATAAGTGCAAAATCTAACTCCAATTTTCTAAGGCCCAATTTATTTTACCGATTGAAATTTAAAATTTAAATTTTATTATAATAAATTTTTTTTAAAAATAATCACATTTAATTTTTTTATTATAATTATATTTAATATTTTTATTATAATAAAAAAATTTCATATAAAATCACGTGCGACCTAAATATGTCCTGTTCTCCGCGCCACGAAACAAGACAACACAATTAAGTGAGAAGACAGAGGGAGAGTCCACAGATTTCAAAGCTTCAAACTTCACCCTTCCTCTCTCCTCTCCACTGAACAACTTTCAGCATTGCATTGTAGTGTTAGGGTCAAGTTCAGATTTTTCTTTTTGTTTTTTTAAGGTTATTATTTTTATGATTAAAAGTAGAAAGTGGAAAGGAAAGGAAAATGGAGGAAGCAGAGGAGGAGTACAGAAGGAGAGAGCGGGTGGCATTGGTGGCGATTGTAGTGGTGGCATCGGTGGCAGTGGCGTCGTTGATGGTGGCATTGAGCTACTACTGCTATATCCGCAACAAAGTCTCCAGGCTTGCTAAGAACCGCGCAAGTGAGCCTCGTTTAATCCTTAACCCTCTCTTTGGTTGCAAAGGAAATTTCTCCCAAAGTATGAACCATATCAGCCTCTTATCTTTTTCTTTTTTCTTTTTTTTTTTCTTTTTGTAACTTCAGCTTCATTAGGTTTTGATTGCGAGAGAGTATTTTATAGTCATTTTCTATGTATTTGTAAAATTATCAAAAACGCCCTTTGTAAATTTGTCCAAATAGCAGAAAAATGCCTGAGGAACAGAAATGCTGGCTGCTTTTTTTTTTTTTTAATGTTTTTCTTTTAGCTAAAAGTTCTTTTTTTTTCTTCCTTTTCTTTTTTTTTTTTTTTTTTTTTAAGTTGCAGCGATTCATAATGTGCTTGCTTGCTTGTGTTTTTTTTATTTATTATTATTATTATTTTTTACAGGAAAGGGCTTTTAGCTTTTATTCTACAATCGGGGGGGTGTTGGGGGGTTATGTTCAAAATTTATTCGTTTGGTTAATTTTTTGAGGTTTAGTGCGTTAGGTTATGTTTTTTTGGTAGCTATACCAGACATAGATTAAGTGCCATAAAGAATGCTTTTCATGATTTATTAAAAAAAATACTTGCGGTACATTGAATTAATAGCCCTTTACAGCATTTATTAGTGAAACAAAGGAGTTAACTTGGAACTCTGTTTGATTGAATTTCTTTGAAGGAGTTGATCTCGAGAGCAAAATTGAGTGTCCAAATCCACAAGTTACTGCTACTTGTGAGAAAGGACTCCAAGTGTTCACCTTTAAGCAGCTACATTCTGCAACTAGTGGTTTCAGCAAGTCAAATGTCGTTGGCCATGGTGGGTTTGGGTCGGTATTCCGAGGAGTTCTCGGTGATAGCCGTAAAGTGGCAATTAAGTTGATGGATCAGGCTGGGAAGCAGGGGGAACAGGAATTCAAAGTGGAGGTTTCATCATTTTACTTGTTTGTTTTTGGACTGAGAAAAAAGGGGTAACCAATTAATTGTTCATCACTGAATCCTTCACGTTTCGTTGTAGGTGGAATTGCTAAGCAGGTTGCGTTCTCCATATTTGCTGGCTCTGCTTGGTTATTGCTCAGACAGTAATCACAAAGTGCTTGTGTACGAGTTCATGGCAAATGGTGGTCTACAGGAACATTTGTACCCTGTTAGTGGTAAGTAGAGTTCTTTAGTCGATTAAAAGCTTTTAACATGTCCAGACCTGACAAAATGGAGGTTTTGCACCTTGATTAGATTTTTTTTTTTTTTTTTTTTTTTGGGTCGTGGAGAAACATGAATGATAAAATCCCAGTATGGCAGTATCTGTAATTCATAATACGTTCAGTTATTTAGTTGTAAAGGCTTTCTTTCTTATCTGTGTTGTATAAGTCCGTAAAATGTTTTTCCCTTTTCTTTTTACATAGGGCTTGATAATCATGGCTCATTTCTCAATCCATTATATTAAAAATATGGACAAGGAAATGCATTTCCAAAGTTCTCTGTTGTCAGGTTTTTGCTTTAGGTTTAGCCCTCACGGAAAATTTGTAGAAATTGAATACCTAACCAGTATTAACTTTTGAAGCTCAGTATAAATTTTTGAATCCTTTGAAGCTCAGACTAGATGAGCATGAGAGAATAGTAAAAGAAATATGCATTTGGTTTTTCTGCTGTTCATTTGTGGTACAACTGTTATTTTGATCAATTAACATTGTTTGCTTAGTTCTATTATTATTTGGCGAATTAATGTGTCTACTTAATTCTATTGTTACCTGAATATACTCATGCTTATGAATATATTTTACAGACTGCATAAGAAATGTTTGGATTGGCTAGTTGTTAGTAGGATATGTAATATAACTCATGAAACTATTTCTTTTAGGAGTTGTTATTTTATCCTACTCTCTGTTCTTTCTTACACAGAGTCCGTTTGGATCAGGGGTTCAAATTATGGTGCTGTGAACCTTTTTCTTTTGAACTCTGAAATCTAAATAGTGTTCAAATTGCAATCCGAGCTAGATATGCAGTTAAAGTATAAATATGAAATAAGAATGAAATTTGAATTTGTATTTGGTATTTGTGTGTGTTGGGGTGGTGGGGGGACGGGACCAATTCCCAAATCCAAATTTGGGTCCTTTTTTATTGTACTAAATGCCGGTTAGAATTGGGCTTCAGGTTCAAATTGGCTGAATCCATGAGCCAAACATGCACCTAGTTTCTATCGGCGTGTTTGGCTCATGGGTTCAGCCGATTTGAACTCGCTGCCCAAATGAAATAGTTGGTTGGTTAATAAGATCTGTACTATTTTTGCAAGTGCAAATTATTCCTCCGTTTTGGATTTTTCAATTATCACTCTTAGGCTTCGTTCAGTTCACAGATTTAAGTTTTCAATTCGAGCTGAGATGTGATTTTATGTGAGAGCTTTTAACTGTAGCAATAAAGTTAGATGTGACTTTTTGTGAGAGTTTTTAACTGTAGCAAAATTGGAATTGAAAACTCGAATCGGTGAAATGAACGAGGCCTAATCTCTCCCAAATTCATGTTTTCAACACATTATCCAAATACAGATTCAGATTTTATTCCTTGTTATGATTTACGCTTTAACTGCATATCCAAATGCCACTTTGGATTGCATTAAACCACACTTTTCAGATTTCAGTCTAAAACAATAAGGTTCAAATTGCTGCAGTTCAAATTGCCACAGTTCAGATTTGAAATTATTGTGTTGTTTTTATTTTGCCATCAATTGTTTCTATCTAATCAAATTGACACTATTTCTTTTGTGGGGTAATTGTGCTATCTGGCCCTCTATCATATCTTACATTGAGTTTCTGTGTTGTTATCTTGGCATCTATTATTTCTTTCAATTTATAATAGTCTTGAACTGTTCATATTGAGAAGGCAAATTGCTGTTGGATTCATACTGGTTAAGTTTGACATGCCAGGTTCTAATGCTTTCTCCATAAGTTTGGACTGGGAAACACGGTTGAGAATAGCCCTCGAAGCTGCAAAGGGTCTGGAATATCTCCATGAACATGTTAATCCCCCCGTGATTCACAGAGATTTCAAGAGCAGCAACATTCTTCTGGATAGAAATTTTCATGCCAAAGTTTCTGATTTTGGTTTGGCCAAGCTTGGATCTGATAAAGCTGGAGGCCATGTTTCTACTCGTGTGTTGGGCACACAGGGATACGTTGCCCCAGAGTGAGAACCTTCTCTAAAGCTTTAGCTGCGATTATATCCACTGACAATTGTTTATTTGCTCTATTTGTACTAATTATTTTCCATCTAAATACCTTTGACGTGCAGGTATGCATTAACAGGGCATCTTACAACCAAGTCAGACGTGTACAGTTATGGGGTTGTCCTTTTGGAGTTGCTAACAGGCAGAGTTCCGGTCGACATGAAAAGACCTCCAGGAGAAGGTGTTCTTGTTTCTTGGGTATGGTTCTAGCTCTCCTCTCCGCTTCTTAATAAAACTATTGGCCACTCCATTTTTACAAGTCTGTAATGGAACGATATTGGAATAGTTTAGCAATTGCAAAGAAATAAATATGAGAATTAAGTATTTAGTTCAAATGTTATGGAGGATTGACCATGTCTCTCCCATGGAATCGTACTTGCTTTTAAAAGTTTTATTCTCTTATAGCCGTTTTTCACCTGAATTTTGAATGTAACTAAACTTTTGTTTTCTGATGGTATGTGTTATAGGCTTTGCCTCAGCTGACAGATAGGGACCAGGTTGTACAGATCATGGATCCTGCGCTAGAGGGTCAGTACTCGATGAAGGAGGTCATTCAGGTGGCGGCAATCGCTGCAATGTGTGTACAACCAGAGGCGGATTACAGGCCACTGATGGCGGATGTCGTGCAGTCTCTGGTGCCCTTGGTGAAGACTCACAGGTCAAATTCGAAGGTAGGAAACTATTCCAGTTTCAATGCTACAAAGTCTCCCACTACTCAGGATCTTGGTAAATCAAGTATATGAAACTAATAGAAGACCGGGAAGATCATCGATGTGCTTCCTTAGCTAACTTTGACTTTTGTGCAGTTTTTAAGACCTACTCTCTAGGCATCAGTTCCGAGCTAAGAAAACTAAATTATTGTAGCTCCTATTTCTGATGTGGTCCCAAAACACCAAAAATTTTGGCGGCAAGAGAATGTGAAATCAACCTTCTTTCTAAAACTGTGTAATTCTTTATTTACGTAGATTATTTGCATGATCTGACCTGCACTAAACTTTATATGATATGGTCTATTTCTTTTTTGAGTCTTTACGGTGAAGCATGCTATTTTTGCTCCACCAATAGCGACTGTATTTTTATCATTGAATTTATTTTTAATGGTTAAATTTACAGTAAGAATTATTTTATGTAACGCATTATAAATTTTTAATATGAATTTTTACAGATCTGACTCTTAGAAAATTAATTAACAACTGTTCTTAGTTAAATAAAATACCTGCACCGTAAAGTTTTTATCATTGAATTTATTTTTAATGGTTAAATTTACAGTAAGAATTATTTTATGTAACGCGTTATAAATTTTTAATATGAATTTTTACAGATCTGACTCTTAAAAAATTAATTAACAACTGTTCTTAGTTAAATAAAATACCTGCACCGTAAAGATTCTCTTTCTTCTTTTGACTTAAATACTTCGGCAGTAGCTTTTTAGATTAGTGGAAGAAATTGATGATTCCCTAGAAATTTGTGAGTATTTTCTGGGGCGTCTGACTCGTCTTGGAAAACAAGGCCTAATTGGTGGGGACACCCAACTTCATGTGGTTCCAACTGGATTATAACGTCACTGGGATTCCTGTGAGCCCCATTGTGGAAATATGATTCCCACAACCCACATGCATTTCAGTATTCAACGTTCCAACACGATCCTTGAAATTGAAACATAACGATCCTTGAAATTGAAACATAACGATCCTTATCATCCAATGGATCCTCAATATATCCTATATTTTTTGGGAGTTATGTACATGAGGTTTAAAAAGATCTTATGTATTAATAAGACCATCTCTAATATAAATATTAAAGTTAATTGTATATTTATCATCAAAAAGTGTAATATGATATGTTATTTTTATTTTTATTCCAATACATAATGTTATTTGAAATGCTAAATCTATTTTTTTTCTCATAATTATTAAGCTTTGATAGTTGTAAAAGTAAATTTTTATGTTTAAAATAATTAAAAAATGTAAAAGTTGTATTAATTACATTAAAAAGTAAATATTTTAACCAATAGCAATCAAATGTCGAATTTCTCACATGTTATATTTGATGGGAAATTTGTCACAAAGTATAACATATGAGAAATTTGACACAGCAAATAGCATTGCATGGGAGAGTGTTTTTTACACTGAAATGCTAAATTTACAATTGGCATGTCAATTATAGTATTGCATTAGAGATGTTTTAACAACTAACAAACCCCAAGGGGTTGGCTCAATGGTGAATCAATTAAACTAGCCAATAGCCTGTGCGTTACTGCAGAAAATACTGTTGTATTATACAAAAAGTCATAAATTTTTATAGTATAAGATTAGTTTATATATACATATATATAGATATATCTATATAATATTATAGCTTTTATTTTCTTTTTTTCTTATGTTTTTCTTAACTGCAAAATACGAATTTAAAAAAACTAATAATAATAATTAAGAAAGTTGAAAACTTACAGTGGTGTTACTGATGCTTGCAGGAACTCAAGTTTTTTATTTTGGTGGGAAAATCTGTGTATATCAAGTAAAAATAATTACATGAAAAGGTAATAAATTTTTTTAAATATGAAGTAGAACGCACGCTTCATGCGCGTGACTCATTTAAAATAACGGTTATACGAATTATCAGAAATTTAGAAAAGACGAAGAAAAATGAAAGGATAGAAGAATAATAATAATTAATATATTATCATTAGTGACTACATTAGTGACACGAGCGAGCTTTTGGCTCTTCGTGCGCCTATCGTGGTCGTTAATAGTTTTGATCCGACCACCAAAGTAATTTCTAGTTTAATTTATTTAAGAAGGTGCGACTTTATATTATTTTAGTGTATTTTTATTTAATTTTATTTTTCATTCAAATTATTTATACTATTTTCATTTGAGATGCTTTAAAAATCTGGCGCAAAATAATATTAAAATAGATAAAATCGGACCACAAATCAACACCTTTCTTTTTCATTTTTTTTTTTCTTTTTTAGTCTTTGTTTAGTTTTAGTCTTAAACGCGCGCACGTGATTAATTTAAAATAATGGCTAACACAAGTTGTTAAAAAAGAAAAAAAGAAGTAAAAAAGGCGACATAAAAGAAATGAAAATAATAATTGGAGAAATCTTAGGCAAAGAGAGAGAAAATAATTTAAGTATTTCATTGTATTTTAAATTAATTCTATTTTGTTTTGTTTAATTTTTTTTATTTAACTTGGCGTGATTTTATTTTACTTTAGCGTAATTTTGTTATATTATTTATGGTATTTTTTTCTGTATACTATTAAAAATTTGACACTAAATGGTGAAACAAACAAAATTAGACTCCAAAATCAATTTAAAATAGTAATATAATAAACAATAAAAATTTTGAAAAATGAACCGGAAATGCTATGAAACCGTCTAATTAAAAATTTCAATGGCTCATATTCGCGCGTGAGAAGCACGCGCAAGTGAAGATCGTTCAGCAAAAGTAGTAGCTGCGCAGTGGTGGGCCTGCCACTTTCTCCTTTAGCTAGCCAAGAGTCGACACGTGGCGACCTCCATGTGAAAGACCTGAAAGCCCCTGCTGAGGAAAGAGAAAAGAGAGGTGAAAAAAGAACAAACTTGGCAATTCAGCTGCCACTAGTGAGCCCCGTTACTTTCTCCTTCAGCCAGCTGATAGTCGATACGTGGTGACCTCTATACGAAAGACCCAAAAGTCTATGTTCAGCAAAGAGAAAAGAGAGAGGAAATAAGGGTAAATTTGGCAATTCAAAATGAAGGGACAAAACTGAAATTTGAGGAATTTCACTGTATAATGTACAGTAAAATATGAGTATGTGAACATTCTCAGGAAGCAGTATGTCTAAGGTTAGATTCCCATCGAGTGCTATCAATTCTTTGGGATCATGCCTGCAGCCCAAATGTCCGAGATTCTGATCCATGTCGATAGGTGCTTTGTATGAATCTCATAGATTAATTGAGACAATCTCTAAAACCACGAAAAAGAAAGGAAAAAAAAAAAAAAGGCCAATAGCTTACTGTAGATTTTTCCAATGACTTAGATAATGGTTATTTTTTTTCTTAATCATCCAATGCCTGAAAAGTAAGATGCGTGTATATCCAAATTTTATGATCTATTGTAACTCTACCGATAATATCAACCTTCTTTTCACACAAGTAATGTAAAATTTGTATTTGTAAAAAATGTCTTGTGGTTTTTTAATAACAAAATGTGTTGAGGTTATACAATAAGGAGTTTCTCTTAGGGTTAGCAATTCGTGTTAAACGTGTCAGAAATTTAAACACGAACACGAAGCGTTAATAACACAATTAACACGACACGACACGCGAACACGATTATTAAACGTGCCGTGACGAGTCGATACAAAAAAAAACACGTTTATGACCCAACTAGCAAAAATAGTAGAATTTTATATTGTATTCAAAATTATATTAATTGACTACTTAATATCACTTATAATTAAAATCATGCATAATAATCAACACACATTAAAATATCCAAAACATCACTTGTCTGAACGTGTCTTCATAAATGTTTTACTATATGATCGTCTGTTTTTCATAGTGTACCCCTATTGAAATTTTTTCCAACTGACACGTATTAGTTAATTGCTTGAGATGGTCCTAAAAGTTGGCTAAAACAAGGGTAACATGCACAACACAGAAAGGAGCATCCGAACACTAATCGAGTACTTTCTCAGGATACTTTGGGGTGATTTGAGTAATAATTTTGAGTTGAGTTTGAATTATAATTTGAGTTGAAGTTGTAACTTGAGTTTGTGTTTGGATGTACACATTTGAATTATGATTTGAATTGAGAATCTATTTAAGTTTGTATTTGGATGTGCACATTTGAATTATGATTTGAATTGAGAATCTATTTGAGTTTGTGTTTGAGTGGGTCAAAACTTAAATTTATATTTAGATAGTATTTTAATAAAAACTCAGTGGTGATGAAAAATTTTAATAGGGTATATGGGTGGAGTTTTATTCGTCTTTTCGTTGTGAATGCATAGGAAAAAAAATCATCTCAATCAGAATTAAAACAAAAAAAATTATGACATTTTTAAGAATAGAAAAAATATTATTCATTAATTTGAGTTTAAGTTTATGAACTCGAGTTTAAGGGGAAACTTGAACTCGAGTTTAGACTCAAACTCGAGTTCAAACTCGAATTCAAACTCAAGTTCAAACTCAAATTTTATAAAAAAAATATGAACTTGAATAAAGTTGTAACTCGAGTTCAAATTTTTTCTAAATTTTGTTGCAAAAGAACAACCCTTTTGTAACTAAAAAACTTTGTCTCCTTCGTGTGGCTAAAACAGGTCAGGTTCTTAAAAACTCTATCACTGTTTATACAGTGGAATACACTTGAGAGCTGTAAATGGAGATTTTCTGAAATATGAGACATATAGTTGCAGTAACATTTTCAAGAATCATCATATCAGGCACCAAAACACTTCAACAGAAAAGGAGGGGAAAAGTAGGTGCAATCTCTTGATAGCACAAAAATAGATTAGAACAGCAGAAAGTGACAACTATTAAAACTAAACATATCAGCATCTGCCTTAACAAAATAGATATAAAATCATTCATATGATTTGTGATTTCGACTGCCAGTATTCATATGAGATTAGGGAAAAAATAAATAAAGGGATAAGAAATACAACCTTTTCTCAAAGTTAATGCCACGACAGCATCATTTTCCACCTGAAAAGGCATAAAAAATTACACTCAAACACATTAACAACAAATGTTTATAATATAATATCCTCCTCGTGATAATGAAATTTAGTTTTGAGTAACCAGTACAAGGGAAAACAAAGTATAATCAACAGGGCAAATGGCTGAGAAATAGTAGGTCTACAATTCACAAGATCATGGATGGGATATGAGAGGAATAAGGTGATATATCCAAAACATCACTTATGACATATGTTTCAAAACATACCAATTACCAAATATCTAAAGAAGTTTGAAAACATAACCAAGTACATTTAAATAAGTTTGAAAACATAACCAAATATTTGAATATTTAAGTGTATAAAACATAAGATAAATATAGGAAAATGTCTTCTTTGAGCCTTGAGGTTGAATGTCCAACATACGCTCTAAAAACCAAAATTAGTTTCCAGTTGCTTTAACCTATTCATGGAAAAAGAAAACATTTTATTAATGAAATGAAAGTTATAGCTTAGGCATGCCACAAGGAAATTCTTGTTACCTTCCATTGCATTTGAGGTGTTGAGGTTGTGAGAATTTTGAGATGAACCAGTAGTGGGCTCATTGATATCCAAAGTAAAAACATCTTCAGTAATTTCATCCACAGCTTTCCGAATCGATTTGTTATTTTCTACACATAATATATAGCTTATATGGTTAAGACTTAAGATAACATAAGCTAAGACAGTAAATAAACAAAAAAATAACAAATATACCTTTATCTCCAAATAGCCAATCCCTAGTACACACCAATGCCTCAACTACGATAGGTTTAAGTGAACTCCTATATTGATCCAATACTCGTCCTCCAACACTAAAGGCAGATTCAGATGCTACAGTAGATATTGGGATACTTAGGATATCACGAGCCATGTAAGAAAGCTCCGGATAGCGAAACTAATTTCCTTTCCAAAATTCAAGAACATCCAACTCAACACTCCCTTGTACTCTTGGCTCATCCAAATAAACTTCTAACTCTGATTTCTGCATGACAGATTGCTCTTGGCTTTCAAAGTTGTTGAACTCCTATAACCACAAAGATATAAAACAAGATGAAAAAGACAAATAAAGAACAATTAGTATTCATCAATGAATGTTAAATTAACAAAATCAACATATAAATGTTTACCATGAATGCTAATTATATTCATAAACATAGTTACCTTCAATACTTTGGTTTGCCTCTGTAAAAACTTTTGTGTTGGGTTTTTAGCAATAGGAGTAGGAAGTGAAGTCACAACATTTATTGTAGAACCCTTGCTCTTAGAGTATTCAGTAAACAACTCCAAATTTCTCTTAACTTCTAAAAATTGAGGTGACCCTTTCATTCCATAAACATTGCCATACGCATAATCTACAAAATTCAACTTGTAACGAGGATCAAGCACTATCGCAATTGCCAATATCAAACTGAAATCTTTCCAATACTTCTCAAACTTGATAAGCATTGCTTTTGCCATAGCAGACAAATATGCATCTTCACTTCTCTCAGATTTCTTCAAGGACAAATAACTTGTGTACACAGTTGGAAAGTACAAGTTTGCAGTGGGGTATTTAACTCCCGAAAAAACACAAGTGATATTATAAAAGGGTTCCAAAAATTCACAAATTTTCTCGGCCTTTTCCCATTCATATGGATCAGGACAGTCCTTGTAGTTAGAATCACTCAATTCTAAATGACAAAATGCTAGTCGATAATACAAAACACTGTCAAGCATGAGGAATGTTGAGTTCCATCTTGTAGGTACATCTTGCCTCAAACCTCTCTTAGAATCAAGACCCACAAGATTTACACACTCTAAAAACTTCTTCTTTCTAATTTGGGACCCTCTTACATACTTCACACTCTCACAAATCTTTTTAACCACTGAATCAATATCTTTCAACCCCTCTTGCACTACAAGGTTCAAAACATGTGCACAACAACGAATATGAAAAAAAGAACCATCAGAAATAAGTGCATTATTTTCAATCAACTGATTCTTCAACAGATCAACAGACACATCACTAGCAGAGGCATTGTCCAAAGTAAGAGTGAAAACCTTGTATTCAATTCCCCACTCACACAATAATGCATAAAGTTTTTCAGACAATGAAATACCGGTATGTGGTGATGGCATGAAGCAAAAATTCAAAATCTTCTTTTGCAATACCCAATCTTTATCAATAAAATGGGCAGTTAATGACAAATATCCATTTGTAACTATGGAAGTCCACAAATCAGATGTCAAACAAATTCTACCGGGGCTCAACTCCAACATAGATTTTATTCTTGCTTTTTCCTGAGAAAATATTTTTTGGACATCTGTCTTTAAAGTATTTTTAGTTACCAAAGTTATCTCAGGATGCAAATATTGGTAAGTCGCCGTAATAGCTTCATATTCAACAAATGAGAATGGAAGGTCATGCAAAATGATTGCTGTTGTTATATTCACGAAAGTGTTCAGCATCAAACCTCTTTGCACTCAATGCTAAAGTCCCTTTGTCTTGTGATATCAATAGTTGGCCTACGTCACGCGTGTCTCTATGTACACATGATTGTATGTGACGTCGCATGCTTCCAGTCCCATTCTTGCTATTAGCCATATACACCACACCACACTCCTTGCATTTGGCTTTTAGCTCATGGTCTGCACCCATTGGAAGCCTTTCAAACTGGTTCCAGACAACAGAAGTATGCTTCCTTTTACGTTTAGAAATGTTGGTCGGATTCTTAGAATTAGCTTCAGGCTCAACATCCTCCTCCAACGCCAATCCAATAGGTGCATCAATAGTAGCAGCAGCGGATGCGGTAGTGCTGCCTGACTCTAAATTTACTCCAACACCATCTTGCAAATCATCCATCTACAAGTGGGAGAAAAAAATAAAGATCATCTTGTTTACACCCGAATACATGGAAGAACATTCACAAAATTCCTTTATTGTGATAAAAATGTATTCAAGCAGTTCAAAATGTTAAAAGGTTTCAGACAAGAAAAAAATCGTACTAAAACAATTCTCAAATATTAAAACAATGGTAAGAAGGCACTTGACAGATTGTTTACAACTGAACTATATAGAAAAATAAAAATAAAACAAAGCACTAAAAGTGAAACAAATGCACAGAATACGGGTGCATTCACAAACATTCACAGAATACGGGTGCATTCACAAACATTTGAAATATGGGTGCAGAATACGGGTGAATTATATGAAGGAAAAAAAAAGGCACTCAAAGTGAAACAAATACACAGAGTACAAGCACATTTACAATTACAAATAAACAAGTCTTAATAACAATAACACAATTCCATAGCAACAAGCATTAAAACCAACCAATTCTGAAACCAGAACAAACTTACAATCATAGTAGTGCAATGAATTGAGCTTGAGATGGAATCGCCAAATGAATTGAACAAAATTACATAGTTAAAATCAAAGAGACGGTAATTACGTCATGGAATCGCCAAATGAATTTAATGCGAAGAAGGAGGAGAAAATGCAGATTAGTTAAAATCAAATAGGCGCAACAAGTTAAAAGAAGAAATTGAATGCGAAGAAGAATGAGGAGTACGTACATGGAGATGGAGATGAGTCGTTGATATTGAGGAAAGTTGAAAGCCTGAAACGGTCCCGTCCGCCCCCCAAAATCAAAATCCAGAAAGGCTGAAACGGCGATGGAGATGGAGATGGATCAATGGAGATGGAAACGGCGGGTGAGGACTGAGGGGGGCGTGAGGACTGAAGACTAAGGCGGGCGTGAGGCGTGAGGACTGAGGTGGGCGTGAGGCGTGAGGACTGATAGAGAGAACTTAGGGTTTTCTCTTAAAAAATATACATATATGACCTTGATAAATGGGTCGGGCCGGGCCGGGCCGTGTCGGCCCGATTATGGCCCGTATAATTAAACGGGTTAAGCGTGTTAAACGGGCTGGCACGAATCCAGCCCGTTTATTTTCATGTTATTCGTGTCAGCCCGTTAACGACCCAATTAATAATCGTGTGGTCCAAACTCATTTATCTAGTGTCGTTTCATCGTGTTGTGTCTGAAATTGCCAGCGATGACTAGAAAAATGAAACTACCGATAGTTTTATTTTTTTCAATCGTTTTCAACCGTCAGATTTGTATAAGAAAGTGTTGCCCGATCTACATATTTTTATAATCTAATTTGATTTTAACTAAATCTAACGGTCAGAAAATTGGTCCTACTGGTAGAACGGTCCACCAGAAATAGTTTTATTATAGAACTAAGAGATACAAAACTGACAGAAAGATTTGAAAGAGATAAACTGAGAGAGAGAAGAAATCTCTGATATTAAATACTGATATCAAAAGTATATCAAATGAAATGTAAAACGTCTATATTTATAATGAAACTTAAAATTATTGTATATTATTATACATTTACGTGTTCTTACGCATTATGCAACTCGTCTGCCATTATCAGTTATCATTTTTTACTTTTACAATAAAACTTTTTTTTTTAGAACATCTCGGTTGATCCAGCAGACAAGTTATCTGCACTTTAACTGAGATAGAGATTGTCTATATTTTTCACATTAACCAACTTGGAGTAGAAGAATGTAGCAAGAAATTGTCAAATTACTATATTTGGTAGGACTCAAAGACGTAGTAATAACTATTCCGACCACAAGATTTTTCTCTTTTTTTTTTTGGTGGAAATGCCGTTAGTACGTTAGATTTGTGCCAAGTGGAATATGTTTACTTTGTCATTATAACAAAGAAGTGAATATTCCAATATTCTTTGTTTGCTAATAAATAGTATATACGACTACGTGTGTGAACAGATGACCGATTCTTTATTTTTTATTTGCTTTAATTTAACATGCGCGAAATTACAGACTTATTCTTTTGATGTTTTTGAATTAGGTAATTTAAGTGTAAATTTTGAGTTGAGTTTGAGTTATAACTTAAATTAAAGTTGTAATTTGAGTTTGTGTTTGGTTGTGTACATTTGAGTTATGGTTTGAGATAAGAATTTTTTTTGAGTTTATGTTTGAGCAAGTTAAAACTTGAATTTGTATTTAGATAGTATTTTAATAAAAACTCAATGCTGATGAAAAATTTTAATAGGGTATATAGGTCTAATTTTATTCGTCATTTCATTGTTAACGCATAGAAAAAAAATCATCTCAATCAGAATTAAAACGAAAAAGTTATATCATTTTTAAGAATAGAAAAAATATTGTTCATTAACTTGAGTTCGAGTTTCTGAACTCGAGTTGAAGGGGAAACTTGAACTCGAGTTTTAGTTCTAAACTCGAATTCAAACTCGAGTTCAAATTCAAGTTCAAACTTAAAAAAATATGAACTCGAATAAAATTATAACTTGAGTTACTTTTTTTTAAGTTTTACACTCAAAACTACTATGCCGAACAAGGCCGCATATCTTTCTTTCTTTTCTTTTCCCCGAAAGAACTCAAGAAGAGGTTGGGTAGGGCGCAAGTGGAACTAGGAGAGGATTTTGTCGTGATTCGTGAAGTGTTTTTTTTTTTTTGTTTTTTGGTGACCATTGACACAAATATTCCCTTGATTTTGAGCATAATGATCTTTTAGTCTTTGAGTTTTTATTTTAATTTATTAATCTTTCAATTTTTTTTGACAGCTTTAATCCCTAGCACTAAAATTGATAAATAAATTCTAAAATTTAACAATAATGAAAACTTAAAATTTTACATACATAATTATATTATATATAAAATTTTCTCTTTATTACTATCAAAACCTCTTAAAAACTATAACATTTTGCACATACCGTATTTATGTAAAAATTTTAATTATTATATAATAAAAATGTAATTATATTTGTTAAAGTTCAAAATTGTTCGTCAATTCAGATACTAATATATAAAAATTAAAAGTTTAAGGAGTAAAAGGTTACCATACTCAAAGTTAGAGAGACTATAATTGTATCAATGACCTTTTTTTTTTTGGCAGAAAGCAAGAGGAGTCTGTTTTTTTTTTTTTTTTTTTTTTGGGGGGGGGAACTTTTTTTTTTTTTTTTTTTTTTTTCATTGGCGGAGAGAACCTTTTTTTATTATTATTATTATTTGCATTGACAATACCGCTTTTAAATTTTTTTTTATGTAATACCGCTTTCTTTAATTAGTTGATGGTTTTTGACTGACTAGCAATCGAATCCTTTTTACTCTCTTCAGCAGCTCTCACTCAATCATTTTGTCCTACATATTTTCACGTAGTTTTCATGTTACGTTCCGTTATCGATCCCCTCAATCATTTTTACACTTATTCTTACTAGCTACAGTAATTACTTACGCTAGCTCGTTTTGGTTTGGTTTGGTTCGAAGAGGGGAAAAAAAAAAAAGGATAACGAATTTAAGATATATATAATTAGTATAATATAAATTTTCTGCTACAATCTGTTTATTTATGTCATTTTATTTTGTAAACGGAGACATATCCTGAGTAAATTTATTTTCTTTGTATGGTTATTAATAACTTCTCTCTCTCTTTAATTCGTCCTCAATATTTTGGTGGAATACGAGAAATGTTGATTGTACCATAGTGAGAAAGCGAGGCTCCAGTAACTAATGGCCAAAAGTTTTTGTTTTAATATTGTTTTTTTTTTTTTTTTTTTGGTAGAAAAGCACTCTATTATGTATTTTACTTTTTTTTTTTTCAATGATGACTAATAGTTCTATATAATATATTCTAGTAGGACCTATTGACCCTTTTATTTATTCAATGTCCTTTTCTCTTACTTCAAACAGAGCAACTCGTGATAAATATTTTGCTCCTTTCCCGTTATTAATCCCTCCATTTTTCGTCCCTACCAAACAAAACCATCTCATTATTAGTACCGGGAAAAAAAAAGAAAAAAAAAAAGAGAAAGATAATGGAATGAGAGGGCCTAGAAAAAAGTTTATCCGTAGTTTTCATCCCACTTGGATATATCATTACTAGTACCAAATTAAGGTGATGTTTGGTAGAGGGATTCGTTCTCTGATTCGAATCATGATTTGTGGTTCACTACAGTATTTTCCCTCATAAAAAATACACGTAAATTAAAAATAGTTCTAATCACATGATTCTAATCCATGAACCAAACGGACTCTAAATTCCAAACTCGCTACTTTGTATCCTACTCAAATTAAGAAGAAAATGTGTAATGCATTTGGAATTTCAAAATGTTAGTTGGCGCACAGTGGAACATTTTTTCACCTAATTCATGTAGAAAAAGACATGATATTACAGCTAGAAATTTTCTACGATAACTTAGTTGTCTAAACAGTAAACAAATATTGGACAAATATATACATTATCAAGTGGGGATATTGGTTTCCAGACTGCTATTTTGTTCTGTGTTGACCAAAGAAAAGAAAAGGAAAAAAAAAAAAATCATCGAACTTATCGTGAAGACCTTTGTAGCTGAGGATGTATATCTATTCATAGATTTTTATTGCTCAATATGGTCTCGATCGCATCTAATGCAACCAGAGTCAACGAATTATTTGATAATTTCTTCTTTTAGGTAATAGATTCCAAACCCATATTAAACACCGAGAAAAAGGTACCAATCCAAATTACTTAAAAGTAAGAAAGTTTCATATTAAGACGTAAATAGTTTTGTTTTATCTCTTACAAGGCCCAGTTAAATAACATTTTAAAACCGCTGCATTGCAATAAAGTTTCTCAGGATTGGATGGCACTTCCCCAAGATCACCACGTGTTGGCCACTGGAGCGGAGCTACCTTGAACCCGAGTAGGCTTCTGCCCACCCTTGCCCAGGGGCTCCTCATATTTCGGACCCCAATTTTTATTAGTATTTTACTATTTTACCCCTCATCAAATTCTTTTTAATCACAATATATACTTGGTATCTGAAAAAGAATCAATTATATCTCAGATTTTGATTTTTAGGTATATTAATATTTTCAAATTGCACAATTTATCTTCGACTTTTAAAAGTAGCGATATATTCAAACTTAAAACCAAAAATAAAATAAAAAGTTAACTATTCTTTTATTTAAATGTATGAATTTTGGGACGTTAAACTACCTGAGTTTTTATTACAATTTACAACTTTAGTTGAATTGGAAGAAAAAAAAAAGCCCTCGAAGATGGACAATTTTTGAGTTTCTAAGGATGTCAAGGAATGACCTTGAAGCTTAGATGACTCAAGATTTTCAAACTCTCAACTTCTGGTTGGATAAGGCCAATAGTTCTGCCGATTAGTTTGCATGAGGAAAGAAGGCTCTTTTTTATATAGGAAAATTCAGTCATTTTGAGGTTTGTACTCAGTATTCAATAGGAGCGTGTATACTTTTTATGAGAAATAATAACCAAAAAAATAAATAAAAATGGCTAGTTTCAAATTGATCCTCAAAAATAATAGTTGTCTCACTTTGTTCATACAACTCGTAATGACAAAATTTTCTTGAACTTATAATAATAAATTGTAATTTTGATACTTCCAACATTAAAGCATCAGTATTTTTATGGTTTTATCATGTGTGCCTCACTTAGGTACTTGGTAAAGTGATATATAACAAATTAAAAAACAAAATAGACTTTGAAATCTCAAAAATCTAAATAAAACACTATTCTTTCTCACTCTAACCAAGGTGTCACCTACTCCATCACTCACATCCTTTGCATTGTAATCACTTTTTTATATTTATGTGATTAAAATTGTTAATTTATTGACCTATAATTGATAAAAGTATCAAATTTGTAACTTATAATAAACTTTAAAAAAAAAGGCGTTTGTGCTATTTTGAGTTGTAAGAGAAAAATAAAATAATTTCTATTATTGGGTGGCAAAATTTAAAATTAACCCATATAAAAAGTAGTATCACAGTATTTTTCAAAAACTACGCAACACATATAAATATTAAAAAAGATCATAAAACATATTAAAAGATGACAATATAAGAATTTTTGTGTTTTGAAAATTATGCTACATAATATTTTATTTTAGAGGAGAATAATATGAGATTAATTTTTTTAAGCGGGGGCAAAATAGGAGAAACAAAAATTTTTAAGATCAAAAATTTAAAAAAAAAAAAAAAAAAAAAGCTGAGTGGGGGCTGCCCCCACTCGTCCTAACATACCTACACCACTGATGGTATACTTGCTTAGACAAGTTTTGGTCTCTGGAAATCTAATATAATTCTCTTCCAAGCTTTTAAGATTTTGGAGCTTTTACACGATGAAGTTTAAGCAGTACAAAAACGGAGCGGATTGAAGATAAAGTCATATATATAATTGTATCTGATTTTTGGGTCTTGCCAAAGTTAATTTGAGTCATGTCTCTAAGAAGGTTTAACCAGAGATGAACAATATTTGGCTTCCTATCTCCGAGGGTCTGGATGGCTGTAGACTTGTTTATGGGGCATCGTCAGCCCTTTTAAGCAAACTTGGCTTCCGCTCTGGAGCCAGAGTAAGGAGTACATTGAAGACAAGTTCAAGAGGTGAACAACTTCTCCACTGTTTTTCCATCACCGATTTATCTTGATTCTTGGCCAAGTCAATTTGAAACCCCCAAAGGGGGGACCGAAAACCAACATTAGTAAATGCGCCCATTTTACTACTATCACTACAACAAACCGAGTTATTAGTGAAAGTCATCGCTAAAAATCAAAAGTCGTTGCAAATATTATTTTTGTGACAATATGTAGTCGCAAACATGTAGCCGCAATTGATTGGTCGCAAAAACTTTTTTTGCGACGACAGAGTGCCGTCACAATTACATTTGCGATGACAATCGTCGCAAATGAGTTGCTGCAATTGTTTTGTCGGTTGTTTCGCTAAGATGACATGACATTAATTATTTGTGACACCAATTCTCAAATTATGTCTTCGCAAATAATATAGAATTTGTTGACGTGGCATTAATTTTTTTGCGACGACAATATGTCGTCGCCAATAAATTTAATTTCATTTTTTTTTAAATTCAACGTTAGTTAAATTAACATTTTTATATATAATAAAACAACAACATATAAAAGATTTACAATTACCTAACACTTGTTGGACATAAATCTATCGCAGCAACGACCCCAGTGATCTAGATTCTTGAGGTTTTTTGGAGGGTTGGCCCTAACTACATTCTCTTTTTCCGGCCCACCAAGATCTTTAAAATAGTCATGGAGGTCACTCTTCCAATCCTTATAACATTTTGAAGCCTCTCTGTCGACCACAAACTTGATGATACCGTCATCGCGGTCATAATCTAGGCACAATCATCAAAAATATCGTCACATAATGCATGTATGTATGAAATGTAATTCTACACACCACCTTTACTGCAAACCTACAGGGTAAGGCCCTATCCCATTTAGTATTGTAATTTACGCGTTGTGTCACTCATCCCACAATGCCCCTTTTCTGTAAAAATTTCGGTAGCATCTCCTTCCAGTTCTCTTAAACGTGCTATCAAATGCACACCCGGAGAACAAAGGACAATGTACCGAAACATCTACCAAAGACGCGAGTGAAATTGAACGCAAACGCGTAAATTATAGTACCAAACTGTCCAAACGGGACAATTCAAGCATCGATTACTACGTATCGATCCTTGAACGGGTCTAACGTTAATTCATGCATGCACGTGCCAAATGCAAATAAAAAAGTTGTACCTGTGTACGTCTTTTTTTTTTTTTGACTATCCAATCACATATCACAACTTAGACATCAACAAATTATGAATTAATGAAGTTTTATCAAATTTTATGAAAATTAAACCAAATTATTTTGTAATAAGTTTTTAACATTCTAATAAATATTTTATAATAGTTATTTTTAAATTTTTTTAATAATTATTATCATCATAATTAAAACTTTTTTCATTTATTAAATTTGTTAACATATTTTTTTCTTTCATTTATAACATTTTTTCAAATTGTTTATAAATTTTTAAACTGAATAAAACATTTTTTAAATTTATTAATTACTATAATATAATAATTAATTACTTTATTTTCATTTTTTACATTTAATTTTCAACTTTATTCATTTTTTATTATTTACCATTTAATGATTAAACATTTCACTATTTTTTACTTTTTATTAATTCGTAACATTTTCATCTAAATTTTTTTTATCAACAACATAATCATCATCACATCAACATTATCATACAAATTTCATTCTAATTACCACAAATGTCAATTTCAATTCTAATTCCAATTTCAATTCTAATTTCAATTTAAATTCCAATTTCAATTTAAATTCTAAATTTTTTAACTTAACAAAAATAATAATACTCACACAACATTCTAAACCACATTCACAATCTACCAACAACATCTAAATACATCCAAACCCACAAACCAAATTCAAAATCCAAAACACAACCACAAACCAAAACCAAAATTAAAAAAAAAAATCAAATTGCAAAATACCAAAAATAATAACTCACAAATTCTAAAACCCACAAACATTGGGGGTTGAAAAACGGGAAGGCTGCAGTGGAAAGAGGGCGACGACAACCGGAAAAAGGGCGACGATGGCCAGCAAAGAGGGTGATGATGGCGGTTTTTTTGGACATTTGTTTAAAAAAGAAAAATTCCCCACAAATCAAAGATTTGAAGAGAGAATGATAAATCTGAACTTTTTTCAGAGTTTGGGGGGCAGTTATGGAGGTTTTGGACGGAGAGAGGGAGAAAGGGCGAGCAAAGATCGAAAAAAAATGGAGGAGAAGGTTCTGCGATCGGGTTTATACAGGGGGACTTTTTGTAACGACAATATGTCATCGCAATTAATATAAAAGCGACACCATTCTTCATCACCTCATTAATATTTCTGAACATACTCTTGGAGTATTCAAATATTTCTTATTTGCGATGACAACTATTACTTGTCGTCGCAAATGTTTTTCGGAAAACCGCCAAATGTTCTGCCTTTTTCGTGAAAAATTAAATTTGATACATATTTGCGACGACATTTTATACATGTCGTTGCAACAAAGTAATAACCTTTAATGTAAATAAAATGGTTGTTGGAGGAAGTTTCTGGAAGTATAACTTAATTTGGCCATGTCAATGCCAACTGTACCCATTACTATTAGCGACGACATGGTGCCGCAATTAATGATTAAATTGGCGCCAAAGATGTTAGCGCCAGATTACTTTTGGCGTCAATAAATATTGACGACGACATGTCGTCACAAATATGAAAAGATCATACTTCTACGTTTTAGTGACAACATGTCGTTGTAAATAAGTTAGTATATGTGACAACCTGGCGTCTCAAATAGTAAATGCGACGAAATGTCGTTCAAAAATTTTACCTTCTTTTTTGCGATGCGAAGTCGTCGCAAATGTCTTATGATTAACAATGACAAAGGTCGTCGTTAATAAACCTTTTTGTTGTAGTGTATTACCCATCAAACCACGGCACGTGAATGTTGTAACTTAAATACGTATATCCCATTTACTCACATGATGGTATGATAGACTTCCACCTTAAAAAAAGGCTCGAATTAAAATGGGTATCAATACATATCAAATTAAAAAAAAAAAAAAAATTTGTTAAAAGTGACATAAAGTTAACAGAACATAACAGAAATCTTATTGTTCAAAACTATATCTATAGTTATAAGTAGATTCTTTTTGTTACCCTAATTTCTTTCCACTCACTTTTCCATTCTATCAATGTAGTGATGTTTCCTAAGATAGTTAATATACATGTCTAAATCACATTTGTGGCATGCCACCGTTAATAATTAAAAAAAAAAAAGACGTGGAATATTTAAAGCAGTGATTAGATTTGCATGGATGGACGTTAGTGCAAAAGTCAACCCAACTTTAGGCGGGAGGCTCCTTTTTCTTTTCTTTTCATTCCTTTTTTTTTTTTTTTTCTTCCTTCTATTGTCGAGAAGAATCTCCTACATATATTTGTTTTTTACCAGTCTCCCGAGTTTCCCAAAGCAAATTTGCTACCCAATTATTTAAAAATAAAACTCCGCGTTTTCATCATTGAGAGCAGCAAAGTTTGAATTTTCAGAGCCAAGACGCTAACAACTCTTTATGTCTGCATGCATATATCACTCGCTATAAATACATCTACATTTCATTCCTCCTCCACACCACACACAAGTGGAAATATACAATAATAAGAGTTTAGTACAATTCTTATTATTACACTTCGCAACAATACATACATACATATATATATATATATAGATATAGATATATCACGTATACCTGTTTGCTGGTTTGTAATATGGCCTTCTTTAAACTCAAGTTCCTGAATACCAAAGCACTTTGTGCAATGTGTTTTCTCATTGCCTTGTTACTCAGTCCCACTAACGCACAGCTCTCTCCCACCTTCTATGCTCTCTCTTGCCCAACACTTGATATCATCGTCCGTACAGGAATGAGGCAAGCCATTAGCACAGAGTCTCGCATGGCTGCCTCCATTCTCCGCTTGTTCTTCCACGATTGCTTTGTCAATGTGAGACCACTATACCTATATATATATATATATATTTATCAATATTTTCTTTTGTCTTTTGATAATTATTAAAATATCAAATGCATTCATGAGTGATTAATCAACATTTAACAAGTTAATCTTTTAAAATGGAAGTTCAACTCCTACATGATCTCGACTACTAGTCTGTGAGTGCATGTAGCACTGATCTAAATTTTTTTAGCTATTATAATTTGTGACTAATTCCATCCCACTCTTGCCACGCACGCATAGTCTAGCCAGTTAAGCTAGTTTGCTGGCGCGCACTAAAAGGTGTTAGTTAAAGCAGAGTTGAATAATAAGTCTTTACAACTTTCGGAAACGGCCCAATAATCTATTCTTTATTCTTTTTATACCATCTTCGTTTATTTAATTAAGCTAATTTATTTAATTAAGCTAATGACTATATACAATTAGAAACTAATTTTTGTTTATTTGCATGTTTGATTTGTAGGGTTGCGATGCATCGATACTATTGGCTGACTCAGCCACTTTCACAGGCGAACAGAATGCCGGACCAAACAGAAATTCTGCGAGAGGTTACAATGTGATTGACAATATCAAGGCGCAAGTGGAAAAAGCTTGCCCTGGCGTTGTCTCGTGTGCAGACATTTTAGCAATTGCGGCAAAAGAAGCAGTCGTCCAGGTAATTAATAATTGCTACTTCTTATATATATATATATATATATATGTTATTAACCGTAATCTTGAAGCGAATTAATTAACTTCACAATTATACAACTTAATGTTGCATAAACTTTCATGTACGTACTTAAACTTCGCTTTCAAATTAATTATTAATATTTTGGCAGACATGGAAATTTATTGATTAGAATTTGTTTGGGGACATAATGTTTTGTTTGCTTTCTCCGTCAAAGTCTTCCATTATTAGATGAGGGTGCATGTTTTTTTATCACTGTTATTATTCGGACTTTCTTGCCTTGTATGGTTTTGCTGATATCATTCAACAAGTACTTATATTGTCAATGTCATGAATTTGGATAATTAGGGCAGTGGTGGGTTCAGTTTGGCCCGAAGGAGAGAGAACACTAAATAGTACTAAAATTGATTAATTGGATAGAAAATGAAATATTAGAGAGTAATCTAAACGTTTAGTGCTTTAAAACTAAATAAAGAGAAGAAAAATATCTATCAGCACGTAATATCAAGGAGAGACCATCTTAGTATTCGATTATTCTCTTTGCCTAGCTAAATGATTTATCTTATCTCCCTAATTTCTCTCCTCTCTCTCTCTCTCTCTCTCTCTCTCTCTCTCTCTCTCCCTCTCTCTAAATGATTTATCTTATCTCCCTAATTTCTCTCCTCTCTTTCTCTCTTTCTCTCTCTCTCTCTCTCTCTCTCTCTCTCTCTCTCTCTCTGTTTTTATTAATTTTGTTTTGTTTTTTGGTTTTTGCAATTCTCCTCTATGTTAAAATTTTTTCCAACATATCATGCATCGACCTTTATTATTCGTTTAATTTCCCAAAATCTCATCTTCCTTATTCGTTTATTTTTAGCTATTTGACCTTTTCCTTTTTTTTTATCCTTTTACTAAAAAAAACATAAAAATGAACTGCGGGTTTAACTAGTTTTGAATGCATGAAATGGTCACATTTATGTTTCATTTTATCTCCAGCTGAAATAGAGAAATAAAAATGAAAAAACGTTTCATGGCCTTATTAAGCCACTTGTTACAGGTCCCAAATGACAGACGATGAAAATGATCTTGAATAGAATCTCTTTTCCTCTATTTTGTCTTTATTAATTAATTTATTTATGATATCTCGTATTCATTTATAGGCCGGTTACCGTCTACCGGATCTCCTCCACAAAGAAAAGTCCTCATTTGTCAAATTATAAGTAAATCATGTTGGATAATAATATTTTAGTGAATATACATTGCTAGACGCAGTATTAGTATCAAAAATATTTTCTAAACGGTATTATAAATGTTCATAAACTAAAAAAAACATTTTTTCCATATCTTTTTTTGGTCTTAAAATATTCTCCAAGGGCATCAAAAAATTTTTCTCCTTTGGTATTTTCTAGTGGTAAACATTTTTCTTATCTACATAAGAAAACATAAACTATTCTCAAGTCTTCTTCCATTTATTTTTTTGAGGAAAAGTCTACTAATATACGTACTTTTAATTTATTGTTTACCTCGTAGTTAAAATTTTCTGTTTCTTGACGTATTCGAGTCTAATATTGATTTTTCATATAGCTTTATTTTTTATTTTATTGCTTTCCTAAATATCGGTCAAATAAAATATAAAATTTGAACGGAAACGTGTGGAAATGCTAGCTGCCACTTCTCTTTAGTTTTAAAAAAAATAATATAGCTATTAATTGGTCAAGTTATTTGTCATGATTAAATTAAAAATAGAATCTCGTACTATTGTTTTTGGCACGCAGTCGGGAGGGCCAACGTGGGCGGTACCACTAGGGCGGAGAGACGCTAGAACTGCCAGCAAAAGTGCGGCTGAGAGCGATCTCCCCTCGCCGTCCTCCGATCTCGCCACCCTCACCCGCCAATTCGTGAACAAAGGCCTCAGCGCCGACGACATGACCGCTCTCTCCGGAGGCCACACCATCGGCCTCGCCCAATGCTTCACCTTCCGCAACCGCATCTACAACGCCACCAACATCGACAACAACTTCGCCACCACTCGCCGCGCCAACTGCCCCGCCTCCGGCGGCGACTCCAACCTATCCCCTCTCGACAGCACCCAAACCAGATTCGACAACAGCTACTTCACAGGCCTCGTCAACAATCGCGGCCTCCTAAATTCCGATCAGGAGCTCTTCAATGGTGGATCGCAGGATGCCTTGGTTAAAAAATATAGCACAAACTCTTTGGCCTTTGTCGGAGACTTTGCCGCTGCAATGGTAAAGATGAGCAAAATTAGTCCTCTCACAGGGACTAATGGAGAGATTAGAAAGAATTGCGTGGTGGTAAACTGATTTCAGTATATATAAATATGTTTTTGTTAGGGTTTCTTGTTTATTTTGTTGTAATTGGTAGAACTGTTTCGTTCTTGTGTTGATCAAGAGTATTTACAGCTCTATAATTACGTACAGAAGAGATCTTGTGCAAGGAAAAAATTAAGGGGCAAGATCTTGGTCGTGGAGAATATTTTGACGTTAAAAAAAGTTGTAATTTAAGTGTTCATTTTCGATTGTTATAATTAATATGTGATCAATGTCAACAAAAAAAAAAAAAAAATAGCATGCGTATATTATTGAGTTCATGGAGGAGTGAAGATCTTGCAATAACTTTATATCTCATACCATTATACCATATACTATCCATTTATCTATTAAAAGTTAAAAAGATCTTGCAATGTTATCAAAACTCAGCAAATTTCATTAAATAAGAAATAAATTCATCAACATGACGTAGCTACTAATATATTGTGAAAACACCGCAAAATTATAAAATCAAATTCCAACACCAGCAATAACGAACCAAAATCTTAAAACAAAATCTAAGCTCCAACAATACAATACGAAACCAAATACCTAAAATTCAGTCAAAGAACTTAAAAATAAACCAAAACATCAAAACATCAAGAACATCATTATATTGCTCCAATATGTGTGTGTTTGAATATTTAAACATAACAGCGAAGAGTAACGTGGGGAGGCCGAGTTTGCTTTCCCACCGGCCTCAACTGGAGGGCTAATTTTAGCCCCATACCCTGTCTTTATATAAGATTCCTCATACTCACGGATAAGAATGAAATCTCTAAGTTAGATGAGAAAAAAAAAATGTGATTTTCCATACTTATCTTTACAAAGTAGTGTGTTTGAGTATGTATAGAATTATGGGTTGTTCTTTTCACAACTCAATGTGAGAACTTGAGTTGTGTATGTGAGAGAAAAATACTATAGTAAAAATGTTGGTTTTAAATTTTTGTGAGAGAAAACACTGTAATAATAAAATTTGTGTTAATTTTACAACTGGTCTCCTAATTTTATCCTCATTTTATTTTGGTACTTTTTTTGCTGAATATTTTATTTTGGTACTTGACTAACTTTTAAAAAAAATCATATTCATCTATCACTTTTAGTTGGGCCCAATCCTAATTTCAACCATAGTTAGACTTATAGTGAGATTGTAGATAAGGATCATAATTCAATGATTTTCTTGGCCTCGTAAGAGATCATACTTTCACACTCCTTTTTAGTGCCTGACTGTTCATAGCCAAAAAGTGATCAAGGAATTAGAAGATTTGGGATTGCAAATTCTATTGAAGGCATTCAAGAATTATTTTCACACGAAATTCATGGTCGAAACACACCAATTGAATCATAGAGAAAGAATAACGGATACAGGCGAGTGGTTGGAACGGTTTGATCACCCAGAAAATATTATTACATTAATTTAGGATATAAATCCCTCAAAATTCATGTCATTTTTTCACTTTACCTTTGTCTGCCCCTTCTTTTGAAATTTGAAAAAACAGCACTCTCTCCCTTCTTCCAAACTTCAAACTGCTAGTAAATTTTCTATTTCCATACATTGTGATGTTGGTGTGTCACTAATTCAAAGAATTAAAACTCGATTTGAGCTAAATATTTTAATTAATAGAAGAAAAATAATGAAAAAACTCAAATTGTTCCTTCGTATTCGTCCCCTAACATGAGAAAACCATCCTTCCTGCAAGATCTCCCTCGCCCGTGCAATGGATATCGCAACCGCTAAAACAGAGCTAAAAATCCTCGTGTCACCAATTCAAATTGTGTTTTATCATTATTTTTATTGATAATTATAAATTTTAGCCTAAATTAGGTTTTATTAATAATTAGATGAAAATAAAAATTCATGGTTAGAAAATTAATGCTCTAAAAATAAATCAAGACCAGGTAACCAATTGAATTAAGAAATCAAATTGGGAATGCAATTTACTGTTTTCCAAAAATATAACTTTCATGAAAAGAATTGACTATATTGCTTTTTTTTAAGATTATTATTAGATTCGAGATGTGACTCAAATGGATGGCAAATCTATTCCTTTATTGTGTTGCGCGGTCCTTGTGTCTGTAATATTTTGTCCATATTGAGAACACACCTTTTCATATGTGTTAGCAAGAAATATAAGATTTCATTATTTAACAAGAGCGTGCATAAGATCATATGATACTAAAGATTTTGATAATAATTTGTCCTTTAGCTTTGTTATTGATGACTATTGACTCATGGCAAAGTATAGATGATCTTTTCACTTTTTTCTTGACTTAATTAATTTAGATATCTTAAAAAAAATAATATGGATATAGTTGTAACACTCTTTTTAAAGTTTTTTTTTTGTTAAAAATATCTTATAATATTCTGACCCGACCTGAAATTTCCATTTAGGTCGTTAAGCCTACGCAGAGTAGCCCGAGCTTTCACCTCAACTCGAAGTATAAATGTCACGCCTCCCAAACGGGGTGGGTGACGTGGAGCTCGATTAGGGATTAATAAAGCAGATTCCCAACCGGGCCCCACACTTAACTGTATTAAAATATAATTACATTACTACAGAATCCCGGAGCCTCTGACACACAGGGCTCCACCCCACAGGACATACAGTATCGTACATACATGCTCATGTAAATAATCATTACAACAGACATCAACCACAGTCTAGTAAATCCAAATATTATATAAGTTTACAGAATTTCTCAAATTCCTTACATTTGTCCAAGAGGATGTCCACAATCCTCACTTGATTCCAACAACAGTACAACTCAGCTGCTCCGTAGCAAATATCCAGCTACTGTGTACCGCTCCTAGAATCTCCTGGAGGGGTTTAGTACATTTAAAACATAAAACGTGAGCGAAAAGCCCAGTAGGATATAATTTGAAATAAACGTTATAATAAATGTGCGAGGAAATACATAAATGAATAAGTAAATAAAATAAGACATTTAGTCCCGACAGAACAGCCGGAACCTCACATCCTTTTTCTCAAAGGAAATATAACTGTAAATAACCGTTTTACAGGCTTCAGCAAGTAATTAGTACAAATTACTTACCTAACCAAGTGCCTCGCCTACCCGGACCGAGTTTCGGGTTCTGCCCCCGAGGATGCACTCTCCGTATCCTATCTAGGCTTACAGCAATAGACTCTATTACCAGTTCACAAGATCTCTTTGCTTAAGAAATCATTCATTAACATTTTGAAATCGTTAATACGACCCCACGAACTACTCAAGCTGCGGGCCCCATGACTAGACAAGCCATGAGGTTCCATGACTAACAAGCCATGGTTTTCAAAGCGTTTTCTTTCACAAATCAATCCCTTTCTTTAAAACATTTTCAAGGCCAAAATCTTTTTTTTGAAAACAGGCTCACAAGGAAAAAGGATAGAAATCCTACCTCGCACTATCAAACCTGGGACTAGCGTTGCCTTTTCCGGCTTCCGCTTCCTCAAGCCTCTTCAGTCTGAATCCTCAGCAATCACTGATGCAAGCCAACACTTTAGGATTAATTCTCATTCCTAAAGTAATCCAAATCTCAATTTCCAACCAAGATTTCCTATTTGTGTGCCCTAATCCATTTTCATGTTTCAAATTATCATTCCAAGGGTTTTCAACCTCAAAACAATGATTAACAATGCTAATCCATCTATCTCAAGTCCTCAAATGAAGCTAATTTAGGTTCTCCCCGAAAAGAGGGTTCAAAACAACAATTTCAGGCCAATCAGGGTCAAACCCCGTGCAACCGGTCGACCGGTGACAGAGCAATGCATTACCACCGGTCGACCGGTGGTGTGCACTCCGGTCGACCAGACAGGTTGACCGGTCAGGCCAATGTAATCCGGTCGACCGCACATGCCGACCGGTTACCATGTGATCCGGTCGACCGCACAGGTCGACAGGTGGAATCAGCTGCGCGAGAAAAGCTCACGGAAATCAATCCAAAACCTGCAAATCCAGTCCCAAATCGAGATATTTCAAAGGGAAACCACTAGATCTGGGTTCTAGGTCCTAAAACAAGTCCAAAGAACCCAAGATCTCCAATTTCTACTCTAGTTTTACTCAAAAACCATCAAAATCCGGGTTGAACCAAAAATAAGTTTTGAAATTCAAAAACTTGAGATTCAAGAGAGGTTCTTTCAGTAATCTTACCTCGAATCCTTCTCTTGACGTTGAAAACTTCTTTAAATCTTTGCTTGGTTCAAGATCCGTTTGATTTGGGACAAAAATGAGAGAGAGAGAGAGAGTGAGAGAGAGCACGGGAGAGTGAGAGAGAGAGTGAGGGAGAGAGACGCACGGGAAAGGAAGAGAAAAAGAAAAGAAAAGGAAAAAGGAAAAGAAAAGAAAAGAAAATGACATGTGTACAATATTTTAAAAGAGCAGTTCAGAAATGCACCCATACACACTTCTGGTTTAAAATAAATTACTGAGAATAATTTAAATATCTTGGAACTATTTAAACTCACACGTGTCAGAAACATTTATTAATTAAACTCAATTAATAATCCAGATTAGGCACACTAATAATCTTAATTACCTTAATTAATCTCAATTAATTCTTCAGGGTGTTATAATAAATATAAACGTATTATTGCACGATGTAACCCTCTACGACTTAAACCAAGTCAATAGTGTTGAAGAAAGTTACTGAGTGTTCATTAAAAGTTTAGAACTATATAAGAGCGGACCTCTAAAATAAGAATTTTGGTTTTTAATACATTTACCCTAAATTTATTGTAATTTAGTAAATTGTCCTTCAAACTACTTGAAATTTTAGCAATTAACCCCTTATATTTGCTAATTTGTTGCTATTATGCACATTTAGGTAACGACGGTTAAATTTTCAATACAATTAGACATTTACAAGTCACATATATGGTTTTAAAAGGGCAAGATCGGTCATTTGTATATATTAATTATTAAATACTTGATTTTGACTTAAAAGATACTAAAAATACCCTTTACGAATAAATCTTGTATTTTATAGGATTATTTTCATAAATATTCTTTAAATTATGTATTTTATTTTAAAGTGCCCTTTAATTTTTTAAAACAGATCAAAACATCCCTTAATATATAAAAAACTTATATCGGTTCAAAATGCTCTTTATCCAACTCCGTCTGTAATATTAATGGATTTTATTGACATGGCGCTCATTAAAGGTTTGTAAAAGGTATTTCAGAATATAAAATGTAATTATTAATAAAAAACTAATTATAGTTTTACTATAAAATTAAACAAAAATAAAATAAAATAAAAAACTAATTAAAAACAAGCATCCGTATACTTGCCATTGTCCGAAACCAAAACAAATCTGAGTATTTGATTTTTGTTCAAAGCCACAAATAATCGAAATGCCAACAGAAAAAACCAAATGAGATCAAAACCCCACTATGATATCTGTAAACGGAATACCAATGAGGACCCTCTGTGAAGTTGTTTAAGCAATCAATTATTCCCTTCGCGTCACTTTCCACTATGACTTGATTCCATCCGTGATCAATGGCCAGATAAATTGCTTCCTCCACAGCCATCATTTAAGCACAAGCTGAACTAGAGGCATTACAGAAGGCACTCTCGTCGACAACTATAACGGGAATTAATTTTGAATGATCTTATAGCAATAACACATTAATTTCACAAACAAAAAAGTGTAAAAACCCAGATTCCGGTGGAGGCTCACCGGAGAGACCACGCGGATCCCGGCGTTCGCAGGTGGTGGTGGTGGGTATCCCGATCCATCACTCTAACCTCCGGTGGGCTGAGAGGGTCAACGAGGGGAGGCCGACGGACGAGGAGCGAGGGCTCGGAGTGAGCGGCGCGGGTCTGACAGTGCGATCCGCAGAGAGGCAAAATATCATTGACGGAGCCCTCGACGATGGGCGGCGAGGAGGGAGTTCCGGATCGGATCAGAGATAGATTGAGGGGAAAGGGACAAGGAGAGAGGTCGACAGTGGAGATGGTCCGCCGTCGTTGGTGCTCGGAGAAATTGCTGGCAAGGTGCCCGACGGCAAGGGTGGCGCAATGAAGCTCCGGTGGAAAGCTAGGCTGTGGAGGCTTCCCAAACTTTTAAGTTAATCTAGAATTGGGGTTTCTGTCGTTTCTCTTTTTTTTTCGTATTTTTTAATATATGTTTAAATCAAAAGAGTATAAAAGTCATTTTATGAATTTTTTTACTCTTTTTTTTACTTGCCACGTAGACACTCTGTTAGATCTATAAGCGGATGTTGATAGAAGGGGTTATTTGAAGTGTTTTGTAGATGTGTTTTGAACTATTTTAAAAAGTTAGGATATTCAAGGTCTGTTCATTTTGTTGACTCGAGTTTAAAATTTGAGTTTTTCTACAGTAAAAATATGTGTTTTGAACTATTTTAAAAAGTTAGGACATTTAAGGTCCGTTCATTTTGTTGACTCGAGTTTAAAATTTGAGTTTTTCTACAGTAAAAAACTCTTATAAACAATCACATCTAACTTTTTTACTACAGTAAAAATCTCTCACATAAAACCACATATCAACTCAAATTCTAAATTCGAATCAGCGAAATGAACGGGGCCTAAAATAATATATATAGTTCGAATGGTATTTATCAAAATAATCATATTTTGTATTATTTTTTTATGTATTTAACATAAAATTTAGAAATATAATATTAAAAAATGGTAAATAAATTATTTATTTACAAATTTTTTTTCCAAATAAATGTAATTACAAAATCAACAAAAAAAACCCCAAATTAAAACCATAACCCTAGCCTTAATCCTTAAACCTAATGCCAAATATTCTTTCCAGCAGCCTAGACCCCTCTGCTCACAGCTCGCCGCCACCCAAACAATATCGCCTGCAAAACATGCATCAAAACTCAAATCAAAGCCGAAATCCCAAGGACAAGCCCATCTCCTTCAACGATTGGTGTCTCAAGTTGCGATCATTGTCTAACGACAGTGTCGCGAGACCGAAATTACGACAGTGATTATCACAATCAAAATGAGTTACTGGGCATCTCCGGCGAAACAATCGTCACGCAAGTTACATAGTTGCCAACGTCAATCGTCCTGATCCATCGTAGCCGAGGAGACCCAAAGAGAGAAGAATTGACAGGGAGAGAGAGAGAGAGAGAGAGAAAGAGAGAAAGAGAGAAATCGAAGGGGGGGAGAGAGAGAGACATGAACAGAGAAAGATAAAAAGAAATAAGGGAAAAAAGAAAAGATAAAGGGGTTGTTTTTTTTTTAGTGTAATTTGAGTGTAATTTTTGAGTTAAATTTGAGTTATAATTTAAGTTAAAGTTGTAACTTGAATAAAATTGGAACTCAGAGTTATCTTTTTTTGAGTTTTTTAGACAAAAGAACATGCCCAAAATCTAGAAAATCATATTTTAAAGCCTTTAAAAATTTTAAAAATGCTATTAAGAGGACGTTTGGTTGGAGAATTCAAACCATGTGATTCAAACTATTTTTGATTTACGTAAATTTTTTATAAGAAAAAATACTGTAACGAATTACGAATCATGATTTAAATCAGAGAATAAATTTCTCTACCAAACATCCTCAGTGTTTGATAATTTAGGCATATAAAAGACCAGTGTTATTCCTTGAAAACCATACTTGTGACTGGTACATGTCTAATTCCATCCAAAATCTAACGGCTGTTATTCAAATGCGTATGATTGCAAGTTGCAACAAACCAGCTTTGTTACGAGGTTAAAAGTGCAAAAATAAAAAATTTAAGGGGTAATTTATTAAACTACGATAAGTTTAGAAAGAAAATGTGCTAAAAACCTTAAGAATTAATTTATTTATTTCTCAACATAATTTGAATAAGATTGAAATTGCATAGAAAGTTAACTTCAATTTCTTGAAAAGTTCTTTAACAAAATTAATGTGCATGCAGTTGTGTCATTATTTTACATAGTGAGTACTAGAGATGTTCGTGGTCGGTTTTGGCGGTTTTTTTTTATAGAAACCACCAATTAAATTAAAAATAATTTTTTCTTTTGAGCAGTTTGATATTTTTGACAAAAATTAAATTGAACCAAATCACTCATAAGCGGTTTGGACAGTTTAAGCTTAAGACTAAATTTTTTTTTCAATAATTCGTAAACATTATAAAATCGTTAATCAATAAAAAAAAAAAGGAGGATTCAAGTTTACAATAAAACTTAAAAATAGCAAATGTCTAACAGTTCACCTTTTAAAGTTTTAATATAAACCAATAAAAATATGATAAGGTGTATTTTATAAGTGTAGAACCTTTATTATGAATTTGGACAGTTTAAGCTTAAGACTAAATTTTTTTTTCAATAATTCGTAAACATTATAAAATCGTTAATCAATAAAAAAAAAAGGAGGATTCAAGTTTACAATAAAACTTAAAAATAGCAAATGTCTAACAGTTCACCTTTTAAAGTTTTAATATAAACTAATAAAAATATGATAAGGTGTATTTTATAAGTGTAGAACCTTTATTATGACCACTAAAAATTAAAATAAATATAAAAAACATTTTAAAAATTAAAAATTTACATATGTATATTTTTAGGGGGATTATTGAGCGGTTTGGGAAGTCCAAACCACAAACCAAACTGCTCAAAAAAATTAGATTAAAAAACTGACCAAACCGCCCAATAATCTAAAAATAATTAACAATTTGATGCGGTTTGATTTAGATTGGACAGTTTTTATAGTTTGACGGATTTCTTGAACACCCCTAGTGAGAACAAATAGAGAAGATTAAACTTTAACAGTGACTCGTTAGCTTTTGATATCTCAAATAGAATTTAACCAACAACATTATTTCATGTCATTATTTGAAAATATTTCTTTTGTGTCATAAATTTTATGGTTATAAAAAAATCATGAACTTGTACTTTTTTTGTTGTTGTTGTTGAAGGAATCACACCTTATACTTTGGATGGTATCATATTTTTGTATTTTGAATTTATGTTGATTTCTTATCTTTTCTGTGCCAACAATTAGATCATCTATCTCATTTTTTTATTCCAAATAGTGTATAACTAATCTCATTTTTTTCATGTTTTTAATGAACTCAAACATTAAAGCACGAAAAGATCATTTAAAAGCATTTTAATTTTTTTTTTAAATGACACGGTATGACGTGGTTGGTAAAATATCATTAGATTCTAAAATCTAATAGGTGATTTGAGTCCCAAATATTGAACAAGAATCTAGATCCAAAAAGCTTCATATGCATATGGAACTCTTAAAACATGCATTTTTACTTTATTAATAGAAATTGTTATTTTTAATCGTTGAATTAATTTTTTAACGATATGATCTAGTTAAAAATTTACAACTCCCAACGTTAAACTTCCCCTACTTCATATAAGAGCGTTGAAAAACTAATGTAACAGATAAAATACTATTTCTACAAATGGAGCAAAACTTACATCTCCTATCATACATTTTGTTTCTATCATGTAAACAATAACTGAAATTTATCTTCAGGCCAAGTCAATGAACTTAGGGGCTTTAAAAATAGAAGAAAAAAAACTATTTCATGATTTCAGAAAAAATTCAGATTTTTTAATAAATGACAATAGTTCAATAGAGAATTAGAACAAGACCGAAGGGATCGCTTTCAATACTTGAAGGCCATTTAAATTTAATTTATTGAGACGTATTAATATGCAAAACATTTCGTCAAAAAAAAAAAATGCAAAACATTGGGGTTCCATCCCATGTGGAGCTTGTCGCACTGCTTTCCCAGAACGACGGCCCACAAGCACTTACTCTGCATCCAACCGCGCAGGATCACCGCCTTTGGCACTCAAACGGGACAGCGATGGAGCACCCGGATTGGAGCGTGCTCGCACTCGCCTCCAAGGCGCGAGTAGGTCTAAACTCTTCTGCTTTTATCTATTTTTTCCAACTAAGACAGAAGAGAGAGAAAATAAATAGATAGATAGATTGACAGAAACAAACCGAAAAAAGGAAGAAAAAATATTCTAGAGAGAAAAAGAGGAGAGAGAAAGGTATAGGACTCTCACATGGCCTCCATGCCCTTGGGGCCTCACCATCCACCACCACTGCCACAGCCACAGCCAGACAACAGCAATGAGCCTCTGAAGATCGTCGGTCGCCGCGTCTCCGACATGGAAACCGATAAGGTGCCATTTCTCTCTCTCTCTCTCGCTCTAACATTTGTCACGTAGGCTCTGCAGAAGCTCCTTTTTCCGAGCTTGTTTCTCTCTCTAGAAGTATGTGTTTGAATACTCGTTTATCGGTGCTTAGATCTTCTCTGATCCAGCTGAAAACCTTGATTTTGTGCTGAATTCGGGATCGATCTGGAGGTTTCCGCCGCTCTGAGGTCGGATTGATCTCGCCGGAAGGTTTTCGCGGCGGAATTCTCCGGCGAGATTTTCTAGTTGATATTTATTTTGCTCCTTTTTTTTGTTTACTTGATTTCTTCTATTTTGCTTTTTTTTTTATTATTATTTTGCTTTTTTGCATTTACTTTAGTGTCGTTTGTATATTATTTTTTATTATAGCCTTTTTTTTTTTTTTTTTGGTAGTAATGTTTTGATTATAAGTTGTGTGACTGGAGATCTTACTCTTTAGGTTAGTGCTTTCTCTTAGTTGTTCCTTGATGAGAAAATTTAGCAGTGAGAAAATAAACGAAACGAGAATGTGCTATTGCTATTTTTGTTACTTCAAGAAAAATCGAAGTTTAAGGGGAAAAATTACGTGAAAAATACTTGACACCGTATTGATTGAGCTGATTTCAGCTGAAAACCATTCTTGTTTTGTAATCCAAAGAGCGGAATTCCAATTTTGAAATCCAATTAGCTTGCGTTTCTTTATCCTAAATGTTTCATGGATTTGTTGTATTTTAGCCTCAATGTCCACTGATTTCTCTATTTTCTATGTGGTTTTTGTGCTTTAGCTTCCTGTTAATGGATTACTCTTCAAAGCATTTTAGTTTGCTTCAGGAAGTTAATGTTCTTTATTCTTTACCCACAGTATGTTGTTTAGAGTGCAAGATTGAAGGCCATTGACTTGATTCTAATAAAGAGACCATTGGTAAAGCTCTCAAGAAAGAATCAAAATATTCTTCTGATGCTTTCTTGTGAACTATGCCCATCCTATTTTACTTTTACGTATGCATATCTTTTGAGATCTATCCACTTTCGGCTTTCCGAAAACTGCATTCCTAGTAGCAATCTACCTGTGGTAGTTATGTTGGATAATTAATCTTTTTTATAATAATAATTTGTGATCGTCAGTTTGTTTTTAGTGCCTCATTAATTCTTTTAGTTTCGCACATTTATGTTAATTTGTTTTCTTTGTGTATATTGTAGTCTGATATTCTAATACAGACTGCTTTAATAGTAAGAGTACCAATGTGTTTTCAAGGATTCACAGTATAAAGTATGCAATATATATTGTGCAATTAAGCAATGGATCCATGGGGAATAAAGGAATAATCTTGGTGCGTGAATTGGCAAGATGTAAAATTGCACAGTTAATGTAGGCTGAATCAATCACTAGGGATCAACTGGATTCCATTACTTTTGGTCATGATACTGCCTCAAATGTGAAATCTTCAGTTTCTAGCAAGCCTGTACCTTTTAGTAATATTAATCCTTATTGTTACTACAAATTGCAGGATATGTCTGCTACTGTTATCGAGGGGAACGATCAGGTAACTGGTCACATCATTTCCACGACCATTGGTGGCAAGAATGGTGAACCCAAACGGGTAAGCAAGAGATTCCTTTTCACACAACCTGTACAAATTCTGAAGCTTCAAATTGTTGAAGGGTAATATTTTTTGTTTTAGCTCATTTATTGGTTTTCTGAGGTCTTTCTTGATGGTTGTTGCAGACAATTAGTTACATGGCAGAGCGTGTTGTCGGAACGGGATCATTTGGAATTGTTTTTCAAGTAAAAATATCTCTCTTTTTGTAACAAATTACTCTTGTTGTTGTTTCATTGTCTCAGTCTAACATGTTCTTTCTAGGCAAAATGTCTTGAAACTGGAGAAACAGTGGCAATAAAGAAGGTTTTGCAGGACAGACGTTATAAAAATCGCGAGTTGCAGCTAATGCGCTTGATGGATCACCCAAATGTAGTTTCACTAAAGCATTGCTTCTTCTCTACAACGAGTAAAGATGAGCTATTTCTAAATTTGGTCATGGAATATGTACCTGAAACCATGTATAGAGTTTTGAAGCACTATAGCAGTATGAACCAGAGGATGCCACTCATTTATGTGAAACTCTATACCTACCAAGTATGCATTCTAATTGATCTTTATTTTGATTGTCCTGTTTCGTTCCTTTTATTTGAATTAGGATATCTTTTGTTCGAATCCTGATAACAGATTGAAAACTACTTTTCAGATTTTTAGGGGATTGGCTTATATCCATACTGTGCCTGGAGTCTGCCATAGGGATGTGAAGCCACAAAACCTTTTGGTATGTTTCTATAAATGGTTTTGTTAGGAAAAGGAGGATTATATATCTAACCTATGTTGCACAAAATATGCTGCAGGTTGATCCTCTCACTCACCAAGTTAAGCTTTGTGATTTTGGAAGTGCGAAAGTTTTGGTATGTTAAACCTTTCTATCACTTCCCCTTATATATGATGGAAAGATGAGTCTTGTAGTGTTGAGAAACCATAAAGTGGCATGCAACATGAGGGTGTCGCGTGATAGAGCTAACAAAAGCTCTTTTACTCTCAAACATGAACTTGAATTGGAAATCTCCTATGGGAACTAAGAATTTGTTAGCATTATGACTGTTGTTGATTTTCTGATATGTAAATTATGACCTGTACCTCTGTGAATAGATCGAAGCTCTTGAGGGAATTTTGGAATATGAATCTCTTGAATTTGCAGAAAGTAATGGCTTATAGCTATTGAAGAATGATATTTTCATGCTAATACAATTCATTGCTTGCTAACTAATTTTGAGTGATATCATTTTTCATGGTCTGTAGGTGAAGGGTGAAGCCAATATATCCTATATATGTTCTCGTTACTATCGAGCTCCAGAACTCATTTTTGGTGCAACAGAATACACAACATCAATTGATATTTGGTCAGCTGGTTGTGTCCTTGCCGAGCTTCTTCTGGGACAGGTTAGTAGTGTCACCATTGTTATTGTTAATTGGACATTAAGATATAGATTTTATGGCATTTCACGCTTTGACCTCTTTTACAGCCTCTGTTTCCAGGAGAGAATGCAGTGGACCAACTTGTAGAGATTATTAAGGTCAACCTTCTCCATTTATGTTGATGTTACTGGCTAATGTAGTTGTAATCATTGTGTGCTTACATAATGTCTTCTTTCAGGTTCTTGGTACTCCAACTCGAGAAGAAATTCGATGCATGAACCCAAGTTATACAGATTTTAGGTTCCCTCAGATTAAGGCTCATCCTTGGCATAAGGTATTTAAAAGAAAATGTATTCTTTTATAAAAAAATAGGAATCTCTTTAATTCTTAAAGTTTTTTAATACTGTGGGATCGATGTCATGATTCTTGCAATGGAGGTTATTTGCTCTTTTTGTCTTTGTTTTTTTCCCTGATTTTTGATGATGTAATCTTGTCGAGTGTCTGTGTTCTCCTGTCATGAACAGCAGTTGTAATTGCCTAGGGAATTATTCACTATTAAGTATGAACTTGCTTCCTTTTTTTTTCCCTCTCCGGTGTCATCATAATTATTATTTCTCATGACGTTCCTTCATTCAGGTCTTCCATAAGCGAATGCCACCAGAAGCAATTGACCTTGCATCACGGCTTCTTCAATATTCACCAAGTCTTCGCTGCACTGCTGTAAGTTTGACATCTCTCATAGCATTGTTTTATGGTTTCAATGAAAACTTAAAAAAGCTTTTTGCCAATGAAGATTTGGGCTAGCTGCGACTTTTAAGCATCTTCTACTGCTCTGCAGCTAAATCTTTTGCAGTCTGCTATTCAGATTCAAGTCTTATGTTGCCATTTTAACTCGTTTGATTGGGCTAGCTGCGACTTTTAAGCATCTTCTACTGCTCTGCAGCTAAATCTTTTGCAGTCTGCTATTCAGATTCAAGTCTTATGTTGCCATTTTAACTCGTTTGATTTCAAGGCATGATACTTTGATTTAATTAACGACCACCTCTTTTCGTTTCTTCAATTGCAGCTAGAAGCATGTTCACATCCTTTCTTTGATGAACTCCGTGAACCCAATGTGCGCCTTCCAAATGGTCGTCCATTGCCACCACTATTCAACTTCAAGCAGGAAGTAAGTTTCTTTTGTTTATGCATATAATTTTTGACATTCGTCCACCTTTCCAGGCATGGAGAAAATTTCCGTCGTATTGATTTGCAGTTATTCCTTTCCTATTGGCAACCATTGTCCCATTTATATTCTTTTTTTCTTACGCTGTTATTACAGTTATCTGGAGCATCACCGGAACTGATCAACAGGCTTATACCCGAACATGTACGGCGGCTGGCAAGTCTCAGCTTCCCGCATCCAGTAGGTACTTAATTGTAAAGCTACAAAACAGGAAGTCATCTTTTCTGTGCTGGGTAGATGGATGGGAAGCAAAAAGAGGGCACATCTTGTTTGGTCTTATCACACTTAACTGAGCATTTTGGCCTAAGCAAAAGCTCTTCCCCTCGCCCTTGGCAAGAATGTACACATATACTCACTGTTCCGCTTAACTTGGAGATCGGTGATTCTGTCTACAATGTCATTTTAGTATAAAGAAAACATACTATTTTCACGCATAGATGTACATCGTTTTGGTCGCAAGGATTCACGCAAAGGTAGAGTATTAAGAAATGTTCATTGTTTCCCAAGGACTCGGATCATATTTTGTCTCCCCCCCGCTTTCTTTCTCTCTTTGTTTTCTACTTTTGTTTGTGGCATTCTGGGCACCAACTCTATTTTTATTAATTAAAGTTAATGGCGTCATTCCCATGAATCTTTTGCCCTTTCTCAGTGTAGCAAAGTAACTTTTAAGTTATTGCTTACTGGTAAGAAACTCTTAGATGGGAGACTAGCTTTTGTTAGCACTTGTTGTTGCTCATATGATCTGTCAAAAAGATATTAGATATGAGAAAAAAAAATAGAAAAAAAAATGGAAATTAAATTACACATTTTAAAAGATAATTGATTGGGAGTTACAGTTGGTGCTACAGCAAACAACTCCTTTGTCATATAAGCCTTTCATGGATTGGATCGCAAATGTTTCATCAGATAAAACCTTTCCAGTAAAGTCTTCCAAAAGATAATGAGCTCAAGAAAAATGCAGAATTGTAAATCTCACAGTTTGTGCCATGATCAAATGGTATGATTGTAGATCATTGGGGGTCAGAAATTCCCGACCTAAATATAAACTGTGGGAGAAGTAACTAAATTGGCAGTGTTGAGAGTTGACCATAAAAAACTTATTTCTCAATAAACATCAACCTTCCGAAGCTAAAAATTTCGCTCTTCCTGCCTCTGTATTACAGGACAGTAACTAAACCAAAACTACAAGTCTACAAGTGGCTCCTAATTGATCTCTGAAAAAATTGGAGGAAGATCAATTGAAGAGCGAAATAATGATGTTTTATTATTATTATTATTATTATTACCCCTCCGAACAATCACAGGGGAGATTGGAAAGAAATAAGGAAAGAAAAAATGTTGCTTATGCAATGTGTTGAACCTGTTCGTCTAAGCAGATTTTGTGACCTCATGGATCGCATTTGCCAGGTACCCAACATTGCCAGTTGTAACACCCGCCATGCTGTAAACGTGGTGAAGTGAGAAATTAGAAAATTTCAATTTGATTAATTGAGAGAGAGAGAGAGAGAGAGAGAGAGATATAGATGTGATATTCTTTTGTCAAACGATCAACCTGTTCAGGTGTCATCCCACTGTAGCAGAACATGCCAATCTGTTTGAGAGGATTAGAGCATCATGCTAATAAGGATCAACAAGCAAAAACATTACAACAAACTAGAAGGTTAAAAAATATAAGAAGAATTATTGATGTAAGAACAGAATCCAACGCACCTGTTTTGTTATGTGCTCCCATGATAAAGGGGAACCCAACTTTTCGAGGTTTTCTCTTAGAGCAGTTCGCATTCCAATTATGCGGTCGGCCATGCCCTAAAGCAATAAATTATTAGATAAAAAGGGCAGGACAAGAATTTAATATGAATCAGAGGATCCAGAAAAACAAATGGTGATTCTTATTTTTGCGATTAGTTTTTTATATTAAACAAATAGGTAAACTACTTGGGCCTCGTTTGGTTCCTATGCTTAAACCCATAATTTTGATTCTGATACAGTGTTTTTTTTTTAATCTTATAAAGAATTTGAATTCAAAATTTTTTTCTCTCACAAAGTTCCCAGCAAAGAATCAGAATCGTTGACTTGAATGCGTAGAAGCAAACGGATCCTTAATTCAAGGCCAAAGCTTGTCATTAGCGGGAGCGTATGCAGTTGGGAAGAACACTGGCTTACTCTACAAGGAGATTTAAAAGAGAATTGATAAGTTGGCAAACAATGCATTACCTTAACTTCCTTAAGCCACATATTTTTCAAGTCTGGATCCCCAAGAATAGTTGAGACTATAAGTGCTCCATGCACAGGAGGGTTACTGTACATGGGTCTGGCAAGCTGCTGCAATTGACTTTTTACAGCCACAGCTTGTTTTTCGTCCTCACAGAGTACACTGCAAAAGGTTAAAAAAAGGTGAGAAAAAATATTAAGGAAGCACGAGGAAATTCGCTTTACAACGTGAGAAAGAAATAAGTCCCACAATTTTAGTTACTAGATGAACCACTGAAAAGATCCAAGTCACTTGCTGCACATGCTCTTCTCTCTGTTCTTAACTGTTATCTTAAGATAAGTATGTGTTCACTTGATAGCTATTGGACTCCTTATTCAAAGACTGATCAAATTACTCGGCAAATTTTAAGAGAGAAGTTATTTATAATTAAAATGACGCCAATTTCCTTTTGTTTGCTATTCAGATCGTTAGATATAGATTTGGTTGTTCCTTTAAATAAATATGTGTTCTAAAAGCAAAAAGGTGTGGTATGGCCAAATGAGAAAGGGTGTTACAATTGATTAAAATTCAATCTTTTATTTAGCCAGGACTCTTCTATTCATTCAATCAATAATAACAATGGGAAGAGCTTTAGGAGCTTTCTGAAAGCCCCAAGAACTCAAGCTTATTGACCAAATAACTACCAATACGAAGATGAGAAGTCATTAAAAAGAATGTAGTCACTTCTATTAATAAGGTTAGAGAAGATTGGCGATCATATTTTTTTTATTAAAAAAAATGCATTATATGTAAAAAACTTACCTAAGGCATCCTACTCTTTGACCGTAGAGTCCCATATTTTTTGCATATGACTGAGCAACTCCAATGAGATGACCATCCTCAAGAAAAATCCTAATGGCCTTCGCATCTCTCTCTGGATCACCACTAGCAAAACCTTGATATGCCATGTCAAAGAAGGCAAAATGACCTTTTACCTGAAATCAACGACAATCCATAACTTGGCAAAAGGTGTAGCAAAAAGAATCAAACTTATGGGGAAAAAAATTTAAGTGCTTACCTTGAACTGGTATGAGATCTCCCTCCATTGTTCCTCTGAGGGATCCACACCCGTTGGGTTGTGAGCACAAGCGTGAAGTAGAAAGAATGACCCATTTGGAGCATTCTACATAGAAATGTTCATAACCAGTGAGCATGGAGAAGAAACAAGAGTATCCAGGAGACAAGGGAAGGCAGATTGTCAAACCAAAATAGATCAACAAAGAAAATGATAGGACTTAATAATAGGCTTGGGAAGTTAGTTTTGTTAGTAGGCTGTTAGAGTATTGTTAGTAGAGGCTGTTAGAGTGTAACTGATTAGTAATGATTGTCAGCAGTTTATTAGAGGAGGTCAGGAGTATAAAAGGGGAATTAGCAATTGGTGAGGAACCATGATCTGGTTTATGGAAATTTGGGGAAACTTGGGGAGAGTTGGTGGTCTCTCGAATACCACCATTGTTAGAGTTTGTAGGTTTGTACTGAGATTCATCACTGTTTTTCGATAAGATTCAGTCTTTCTGTTCATTTTCCTATGTTCTAGTTAGAACCTTATCAGAAAACTAAGAGGTAGAAAAATAAATCTAAACAACCTACTTTTAACTTATAATATCCGACATTTACCTTGATGTCATCCATCAATCCAGCAAAGTCTAACCCCCTAGACTCTGGGTGATAGTAATGGAAAGTCCTTTGAGGAAGCTGGGCATCTCTCCAGATGTTATGATGACTGGGGAAACGACATACCATATGATAAAAAATGAATCCCAAGTTTCCAACAACATAAATGCTAGAGAGAGAGAGAGAGAGAGATTTGAGCATTGATGGAAATTCCAAAACAAAACTCACTTGGCCCATGTAGGCACTGGTATATAGATTTGGGAATCAGGACAAAAACGTTTCTGGAAGTCTGCAAAAAGCCGGCATGCACCTGTTCCAGAGAGAGATTGAACAGCAGCTATCCTTTTGTCTTTGATGAACTCAGAATTCTCTCCATAGGCCAGCTTCAGGGTCTCCTCCACCATCTTCACACTCCCTCCCATAGGAAGATATTCCCTGACAGGAATGAATATATCAGCTCAAATTCAAAAACGGAAAAGGATTAGAAAGAAACAGGATCATTAATGTAGATGGTTCGTAAATGCAATGGCCCAAGGGTCGAACGCAAAGAAAATACAGCAGAACACCAAATTCCCGTATCGTTTACTATAGTCTCAAGTTTTACGATGTTCACTGTAGGCTAGGCAGCTTTACTTTGTCATTTTTAAAGTAAAATTATAGATTCATCTTCAAGATACAAACCCCAAACTCCTATACCTGATGGAGTGACACAGAACACGTAGATGACTCATTGACTTTTTTTTAGGGTGGTAGGTTTTTTTAATATAATAGAAGGTACTATTTTTGTTTGATGATATTGACTATTTATTCTGTTGATGACATCAGACAGAACGGATAGTCCAAACCAATACCGCACTTCCAAACACAGCATTGGGAAACTCAGTTCAAACTTCAAATTAATACTAAAAGTTCCATTCTTTCTGGATAAGTACAAGTTTTATATCTGATTAAACACATAACAAAAGGGAAAAAAAAGGATAAAACTAGATATAACATGAACCCAACTCAATCTCCAGGGAGAATAAGCAGAGGAATAAAGAAGATGATAAAGTAGCCACCGCCTCATTATGGACCATGAAATGTGACAAAAGAATAAATCTAGTTAGTGGCCAATATAAAGGTAAAGGGACCACCGAAATCGTGCAAGTTGTGTAAATAATGGTCAAAAGTAAAAGAACATTTCCATGACACACTTTTCACCACAAAATTATAACTATAGCTGACGTAAACAAGCCCAACAGAATTATCAATATACTATTCATTCCAATTTCCATATTTGATAATCAGCAAACTAATTCTATGTTAATTAATCAAAAAAAGAAAAAAAGAAAAAGAAAAACATCATCTGCTACCATAATGATGATATAACAAACGTACATGTTCAAGTTTCCCGCAATCCTACGCTCTGCTGCTCTAACGCATTCAAGAACAACAGGCTTTCCATTATCATTACGGTAGGCACCCTTGGAAAATTCAACAGTTAAAATTAAACCGTTAATCATCAATAAACCGAAAAAGAAGTCAGATCAACGTCATCGACACTCTGCTCGATAAGTACAAGAAAATAACACAGAACCAGAAATTATTATTATTGTTTTACAGAAATAAGTATTAAACAAAGGCATAGATCTCAGAATAAAGAGAACTCTCCGTTTCTTCTTTCTCATTCCTGAGATATCCCAAATTTCAGAGAAGAATTCGATTAATAGTTAATACACAAAATACCTACTAACGGAAATCAAAGGGAAAAAAAATCCTCTAGCGCAGTTCGTACTATACCGCTATTTGATCACAGTTTATACCGTACTTATAAAACAGCAACGAACTCAACTAAAATATTCTTCGTTATTCTCACAAAATACACAAACACCGAAAAAGAAAACCAAACAAACAAAGCGAATTCTAAATCAACTCTTTATATATATATTTGCTCAGAAAACGCTGTAAGAACGAGTAGAATAGAAATTCGAACATCTGACCACAAGTAGGATTCGGAGCCAAAGAAAGTAAAAAATTTCTTTACGATCCTGCTCTTCGACCTTATTTTCCTAGCAAACAAACAAAACTAAACTAAGTGAAAAGGAGGCGAAACTTACAACTCCAACATTGACTTTGTCGGGACTCGGATCGGCCAAGTATGCCTCGGTGACGCCGAGAATCGGATCCTTGGGTGCGGGATCGACGTTCCGCCACAACGACATGGATCTCGCTCCCGCGACGGAGCTCCGGCACAGAGCCTTCTTCAAAATCGCGGAGCGAAGCGCCATGGAAACACTCTTCTGAACTTTCTAGCTGGAACAGGAGAGACGAGAGAGCGAAAGCAAGCCAACTAAAACGCGACCTGAAATTTATCGCCGAACTATGCGTGCGCGTAATAAATATAGACGCACACACACCAAGGCTTGTTAGTTTGATAATGGTGTAAATTTTAGAAAAATTATTTTTATTTGTGTTGTTGAAAGAAAAAATTATTGTTATAAAAAGTAGTTAAGTATTTAATAATTTATAATTATAATAATTGTGTTAATTTTAAAATTAATGTAATAATGTTTGATAAATTACAATATTAAATTATTGTAAATAGTTAAAAATTATAATTATATTATATTATATTATAAATAATTTATAATTATAATAATTGTGTTAATTTTAAAATTAATGTAATAATGTTTGATAAATTACAATATTAAATTATTGTAAATAGTTAAAAATTATAATTATATTATATTATATTATAATATAATATATATAATTATAATATAATACATATATATAATTATATTTAATATAATACAAAAAAAACTATTATTATATAATATATTATATAATTATGATATAGAATATAATAATATTATTAAAATAATAATTGAAATAATTAAAAATAATGATCATATTATATTATATTATAATATAACATATATAAGTACAATATAATGTATATTTATTATTATATTTAATATAATACAATAAAACTATTATTAAATAACATATTATATAATTATGATATAGAATATAATAATATTATTAAAATGGTTAATATAATTACAATATTATAAAACATATTATAATATTACGT